GGGGGGGGGGGGGGGTAGATGTGCGTTAGCGTGTGTGTACCGCATTGAGGAAGAGACCCAGCTGGGCGACCTCAATCGCCTGACACGTCAACATGTGACAGGAGCCATCCCATTGGACTCGTTTCTTTTCTGGAGTCTCTATGTACTCACCTGGTCGAGGTCGGCGTCCTTGCAGACTATCAGGGGACTCTTGCCGCCCAACTCTACACACACGAAGAAACACACGACACACGACACATGAACGCTGCTGTTTTTCTGTTTGTTTGTTTGTTTGTTTGTTTGTGTGTGCACGTGGTGTACCCACCAGTGGTGACTTTTTTCATTCCGCTTTGGGCCGCCGCCACGAGGATCTTCTCGGCCGTCACACCGCTGCCAGTGAACGCAACCTGCACGGACACAGACAGAGAGAAAGCATCCGTCCACTGCCTTTCGTGTGCCACCGACTGACCGACCTTGTCGATCATTTCGTGCCGCACAATCATGTCGCCGGTGGTGGGGCCGTAGCCGGACAATATGTTGATGACGCCGGGCGGGAACCTGACACCAAACACAATACCGTCGTCAAATGGTGTGGGGGTTTGGGGGTGTGGCTGCGTACCCAGCCTCCTTGATGAGGTGTCCCATGAGCAGTCCGGTGAGGGGCGTCTTCTCGCTGGTCTTGATGACCACAGTGCAGCCGGCAGCCACTGCATATATGGCACACATACATCCACAAACATCCGCAAATTTGGATCAACAAGGGTTCGTGGCTTTTATCAGTGTGTGTTCTGTGTATACTGGCGGGTCCGATCTTCCAGCTGAACATGGCCAGAGGGAAGTTCTGGCACACAGATACACGCAGACAGGAAGATGCACCCAGCGCATCAGTGAGTGCGCGCCTCAGTGACCTACCCAGGGGATGATCTGACCGCACACGCCGACCGGCTCACGTCTGCACATGACGTTACACAAATATGCCCACGCAGACAAGACGGGCGCATGAAAGTGTGCACATCCCTGTGGCTCACCTCTGGTAGCACAGCCAGTTGGCGGGCGTCTCGTTTAGGGAACTGATGGGGATGTGCTTGCCCTAAACACACACAGCCACACGCACACAAACCACACACACACACACGCATTGTGACATTCTCAGCTCCACGCCGTTCCCACCCACCTGTATTTTGCCGTCGGCCCATCCGGCGTAGTAGTGGTACACCTTGATGCACAGGCGAATGTCCACATTCCTATCACACACGCACACAGAGCCAAACACACACGTGTGTGTTGATGTGTGTGTGATGCTGGGCGGGTCGCTCACTTGGCGATGTGTTTGGGTTTGCCGTTGTCGAGCGACTCGACCTCGGCCAACTGAACCAGACAGACCGACACACGTGTGTGTGTGTGTGTCCATCCATGTGTGTGTGCTGACCTGGTCGATGTGCTTTTCCATGAGGTCAGCGAGTTTGTGCAGACACTGAGCGCGAACGGGGCCGGTCGTCTCGCTCCACGACGGGAATGCTGAATGAATGCATTCCACACACACACACACACATCCACACCCCTCCCATGTGTATGTGTGTCTGGTGCCTGCCCACCTTTGGCAGCGGCCTTGACGGCACGATCAACGTCCAGCTTCCTTAACACACACACAGGGCAGATCCACACACACTAATATGTGTGTGCCTTGCACTGTCTGATAGAAACAAGCTCACCCGGCCTCCTGGATCTTGGCGATGACTTTGCCGTTGGTCGGGTCGACCGTATCGAAGTGCGTCCCGTCATGCTCGTCCACAAACTCACTACACACCCAGACACCCAGACAGACAGGCCTCTCCCGCCGACACGCATCATCATTATGTGTGTGTCTGTTGGCTGACTTGTCGATGAAGAGTCTGGTCTCCATGGGGAGGGCGCCGACGGGGTAGCCGCCCTCGGAGCCGTTCAGCTGCGCCACACACACAGACATACACACACAGATGAATATATGTCTCTCTCACACCCTCAGAGAGGGCAAAAGACCGATTCGTGCTGCGCCAAATGGGCACATTGGCAGCCTCCCTCTCTCCCTCACGCCCACATGCATCTTGTTTGTGTGCGGTTACGTCTTTGCCCATCTTGGCGGCGGCGTGGCGCTGTTGTTTGACGCGGATCTCTCTCTCCTGGGTGGTGCCTTCTCGGGTCTCGCAGCAGCGGAGGAACATACACCGATTTCCGTACTTTCAAGCTCGCATCAGCGCCTCGATCGGGGAGAGGAGGATGGCGGTGGGATCTCTGTGGTGAGGATACAGCGTGGTAAGCAACGTCATTCATCTGATGGCACAGATCTATCTCATTTTGTGTCATGATTCATCTGTTCTCTCAGGTGGTCATGTGGTCATGACCATGAGATAGATGGACTCATTGACCTGTGAGGCGTCTCGTGCGTGAGAAGGGTCCATTGCACCGACCTGCAGAGCACCGTATGTCTGGTGCGTCTGTGGTTTCTCGTCTTCCCAGTACGGTCTTCTCTGTGTGCAGCTGCCGCTGCAAATGAGGCCGCCTGTGCCAACGACGGCAGGTCGAAGAAGCGCAAGCGTCGGGCGGCCGAGGAGGAGTGAGACGAAGAGGAATACGGTAAGGTCTACCTCTGCACACACTGCACTGCACTGCGTTGGTCGGCTTCCCCTCCCTCCCTGTGTGTGACTTGATCAATACGCAGCAACGCGCCTCGTGTGTGCGTCTGTGTGTGTGGGTGTCAGATGACGAATACCATGGTCAGGAGGGCTACGAGGGCTACGAGTATGAGGACTCGCCAGGTGAGTGACAAACGATGGGAGGGATGGATGGATGGAGGGAGGGAGGGAGGGAGGGAGGGAGCGTGGTGCTCATCCGTTGTGTGTGTGTGTGCAGGTGGCGTGTTGTGTGTGGGGCTGCGAGGAGCACCACCACAGCATTACTGCAAGCTGTGTGGTGACGAGAACTCCGACCACTTCGCCAGCGAGTCCCCCTATGGCGTCACCCTCTACCATCAGCACGCGCCGTGGCATCCTCAGGGCAAATGCCTCGCCGCTCCACCGGCATCGTCGGCGGCGGCATCTACCTGTGAGGAGACCACACGAACATTGCCACCCACAGCCGCACACATGCATGTCTGTGTCTGTGTGTGTGGCTGGCGCGTCCCTAGGGCGTCATCCCCACAGCAGACCGACCGTAAGGCTCATCAGAGGGGCTGCATGGTGGTGGCGCGTGTGTACCTGGACAAGGTCTGCGCCTGACCCCCGGCCAGGCACCCACCCTGACAGCACCACCACCTACACGCGGCTGTAGTGTAGCAGGCGGGCTACGGCTCGGTGCAGCTGGCCATGCGGTCACTTTGGTGGGGGAAGGGCCCTATCTGTATGTGGGCATTTTGGAGTGAGGGGTGGGTGGGTGTGGGTGGGTGGGTGGGTGGGTGGGTGGCTGCGTTTTTCCTCTTGGGTCCCATCTGCGTTTTTCCTCTTGGGTCTTTTCACGCCACGCCCTGGGGTCGATATTTTCGCTTCCCAGGGGCTTTGTTTGAGACCTGACCCTTCCCTCTCTCTGTTCTGTCGAGTTGTTCATCACGCTTGCCGCCGTTCCCCCGTGACTGACTCACAAACACATACATGCATATCTCTCTCTGTGTGTATGTATGTGTTCTGTTCGTGTGCATTTATCACCTGCCTGCGGTCTGCATGTGTGTGTGCGGCTGGCTGTGTGTCTCGTGTATGAGAGCCCATCGACCATGCAAAACAGACTCAGACGGACAGACAGACAGATGCCTCGCTCATTTTGAATGAGTCTGCACTTCTGTGTATTGCTGTGTGCGTGATTGACAGACTGATGCATGGATGGGTCGATAAAGAGTCGTCTGTTCACACGTATGACTGAAACACGATAGCATACGGCATCCTACACCAATCACAGGAACGCAAACTCGTTCAAAAAGCAGCTCGATAGAAATGCCAACAGGTTGCGCGCAGAAAGCGCGTCAAGCACCAAGCTCAGCAGGAGCTGACCCTCAGGACGACAGGGGAGAATTAGCTCTGCTGCACCTTCTTCGAGATGTCGACAAGAGACTTGAAGGCACTGGTACCGCTGTCGATCGTTAGGCTCTGATACAAAACAGAAAAAGTCCACAGAGCCCTACATGTGTGTCCTCTTCTCTGACCTGTCTGCGGCCCGTGGGTTGTTCCGTTGCAGAGACGTAAAGGATACCGTCGGCGTCGATCTCCATCGCCACCTCAAGTTTTTCCCCCTGGATGCCGGTAAAGGCGAATTCGCCCAGCAGATTGTTATCGCTTGCCTTCTCGTGCTCGCCTTCGTACACCTTGAAGTACATCTGCGAAGATGTGGACACACACAGGGAGATATACAGAGATACGGCGGGCGCTTCGTCGCGAACGTCTCACCTTTGTGGCGCCTCTCGCATGGAAGACCTTTGATTTCTTGGTCGGGATGGTGCTGTTCCGCTCGATGATGCGTACGACGGTGCCAGAATCGCACGCTGAGTTCAACCTCGCTTCCATATCGCGTCCATCACGGACTTGTGCATCAAGGCCGAGAGAGAGAGGCGTGACGCTGACGAGGCGGCTCTGTGCAAATGTAAAAAAAAAAGACACAAGCCTCAGAGGGTTGCACAGATTCGCATCCATGGAATCACATTCGCTTTGAGGGTTGCCTCTCACCAGCCGTGCCAGCTGTGCCTCGAGGGCCCTTATCTTGCCAGGCATGTCTGTCTTGTTATCGCCCTGCCTCTCAAGAGCGTCCAATCGCCTCTGCATGGCAGCGTGCGCAGCTTGCCATGGTTCTTCCTTCGACATGATCTGCAGCACACGTACATGCCATGTGCGCAGGTCATGTCAACTCTATTGCATACCTTTGTTGAGAGATCCGCTGTCAGTGAGGCTCAAGCGATGCTCGCGACGCCTTGCCTGCCCTCAAAAGGAACAGATCCGGCTGGCCTTCGGTCGACGAGCTCGCAGCTCGCGTTTTGTGCGTTAGCAACTGGTGGCCTTCTCCAATGACATGCAATTGAACGGGTATCATTTGGATCATCAACGTGCAGTGTGTGCTGTAAGGGATGCTCCTGCACACACTGCACTGAGACCTGGCCCTTCCCCCTCTCTCTTTTGTGTCGAGTCTTTCACCACCCAGCCATTCACACATTTGTATTTGTGATCGCTTTGCTTGCCGCCGACTCACCTCCCTCCCCTCTCTCCCCTCCCTCTCTCTGTGTGTGTGTGTGGGTGTGTCGCGTGGGGGAGGGTCAGCGATTTTGAGGCGGCCACTCACTCTTTCTCGCCGCATGGCATCGACAGTCCATCGACCACACACGACAAACCGACATAGACAGACAGACAGACAGCCAGTCGTGTGATTGACACTCTCGGGCATTCATGGCCGGGTCGATAGAAAGGGCCGACATGTGCGACGATCGTGCGTAAGTCATGATAACTCTAACCTCTTTGGCCATTGGCTGACAGCGAGATAAACGCAAACAATCAATCGCATTCGACGCAATCATTGTGTCGACCAGTATGCAATGGGCGCGGCGCACCACCAATCGAGACCACCAAGCTTTCATCGAGACCATCATGCGATCTCATTCAGCGAACACACCCATCCATCCATCCATGGCCATCCAACAGCACCAACACGTCAATTCATCCAGTCAGCACCATTAAACGCACCTCCTCACCCTGCCGCCATCTCCTACCCCTCCGGCCGTCTCTGGCTGTTCACATGCAGGCTGGCACGGGTGAGCCATCAATCAAGGCATTCAAGTCGGTGACATCCGACTGGATGAGTGTCATTGGGTGAACACATGACAGTGACTCACACCGACAACCACTACCTGTCTGTCCATCTGCTGGCCTGTCTGCCTCCCATCTATCAGTCCGTCCACACACACAGAGGAAGCAGCGAGTGAGGCAGCGACAGAGATCTAGTCATGCACACATCAAAACCTGCCCGCCTGCCTCCCACATCGATGTGAAATGTCATCCATCAACACGGCAATATCAGGCAGGATGATCCACTCGTACACCAAGTCACACACATGAAGGAAAATTCATCACACAGTCAGGCCAGCCGAACATGCCAAAATTGGTGATGCACCTCTCCCTCCCTCCCTCCATCAGTTGATGCCGAGTGTCACCCACTGCCCCCGTTCGTCGACGTACCCCAGCTGCTGCCACTCGAACGCCGCCACGTCCTCGGTGAAGCCGTTGTCGATGCTGGCCGGCAGCCCGTCGTATCTCGCGGCCTCGTCCAGGATGGCCCGCTGCACCACCTCACGCAACTCCATCAGCCGGTGCTGCCCGCTATGCTGCCACCTGACGGCGAAGCACTGCAGCTGCGGCACCCGCACCCTCTCGCCGCCCACATTGGTCGTCCCGCCTACCACCTCCTTATTGCCCACCACCTGCAGCGATGCGGCGGCCTCCACGAACCGCGACATCGCGGTGTTGACGCGGCGGCCGACCTCAGTGACGTTCTGGACGGGGCGGGGGCTCTGCTGCAGCACTGATGGGTTGACGAAGAACGACGCCACGCGCCAGGCGATGGCCGACATGTCCCGGTTGGCGAAGGGCATGTAGTCGTCTTGCCAGGAGGGCTCCGGGTCGACGTGTGGGGGGAGGGGGGGAGGAGGCACCGAGTTCTGGGATGGGTCGAATGAGGGGAAGGCGGCCTTGAGCTGCTGGGCGGTGGCATTGTGGAGTGCCTCTGTCAGCGCGTCGGCCATCTCGCGCTGAGGTCGCAAGGCGGCGTTGACGGCCGCCATAATGGCCTGTGGCAGCTGGTTGAGCACTGTCGCGTACTCGGGCAGCACCAGCTGACGACAACGGCGGTCCTCCTCTGTGGCTGTGGGCATGAGGGCGATGTCAGCGCCTGCCTGGAGCAGCACACGGATGGTGGTCTTGATATGGAGGATCCGGATGGTGGCCCGGTCCCTCTCGACATGCCCCGTGGTGTTGTCCTGCAGCTGTTGGGTGTCGACATCGAGCGATATGGCAGCGTAGGTGAGGGGTGTGACGGTGGGGTCAATCGGCCTCCGTCTGTTGATGTCAGCAGCGGTGAGACGGTGGCAGATAGATGCAGCGACACAGTGGGCGCCACGGAAGGCCGCGAAGTGCAATGCCGTCACTCCCTCGTTGTCCACGGCCCTGATGTCCGCCCCGTTGGTCAGCAGCAGGTCGATGTAGCTCTCGATGAACTGCTGGGAATAGACGGGAGGCGTCATGGCCGCACTATGCACCAGGTTGCTGCCACTCGCTCTCCGCTCGGTTGCGAGTGTGCTGTCCCGCTCGATGAGCTGTCGGTAGAAGGACAGCAGGGTGCGCTCGTGAGCCTCAGTCGGCTGGTCCGTCAGCAATGTGGACGGCAGCGCCAGCACGTACCGCCCCTGTAGCTGAATACCTGGAAGAGACATACAGACATCATGGTGTGTGTTCCGTGTCGTAAGTGCTGTGAATGGGTGTGCACCTGGCTGGCCCATCAGGAGGTCGACCGCGGCCCGGTTGCACGAGGCAATGGCCACTCGGATGGGCGTAGACAAACGCCTACCGTCATTGATGTCGGCGCCTCCCTGGATGAGGCTTCGCATGACGGCGAGCTGGAGTCCGGGCGTCCGCCACGTGGGCAAAGCGACGGGGCAGTCGTCATCGCCGTCCTCATCGCCGTCGTCGGCTGCCCAGATTGACGGCACGCTGTCTTCCGTGAGGTTGTCAATCGCCAAAGACAGCAGCGGATAAGCGAAGCAGTCGCCCGTGGTGCCCGCCACCCGCAGCCGTGGCATCACATTGGGGTCGGCTCCATTCGGCTGAATCAGGTCCGTCACCTGCTGTGCGTCAGTGATGGTGCGGCGGATGATGGCCTTGGACAGCCGTCTGCTGGCGTCGCTGGTGCAACGAGGGAAGCGGACGTCGACGCCCTTCTCCGAGCTCTTCCAGCCGTGGGGTAGCGACGGACCTGGTGGCACAGCGTCAATATGAGAGGGTGGTATATGTGTGTGTTGGTGGGTGATTCGTTCACCTACCTCCGTCCTGTCGGCCATGTCCGCTGCCCGGCTGCCCATCGGATCCGTCACCACCGACACCAGCACCGACAGCACGATCCCCACCAGCACTGACGCCCCCTTCGAGGCGGGGCGGTTGCGGTGGGCGATGCGCATGGCCGCTCAGCGTCGGAACAGTGGATGGCACGCCAACAACAGCAGCAGCAGGATGGAGGGGAGCGGGGGGACGCTGCACACACCATACACAACACAACACAACACAATTCACAAGACAGCCATTCCATCATCGTGCTGTGGTGCTGCCTGAGGGGCAGAGGAGGCATGCAATCACCTGTGGCGGTTGGGCACTGGGCAGCTTGCCGGCAGATTGGTGCGTCTGGCTGTCTCCCTTGGCCCTCTTGTGCTCCTGATGCTCCAGAGGGGAGCCGACACGCTTCACAACACCTACACCTTCACACACATACACACACGACCCAGACCATGATGACGTGCTGCGTCAGGCTGGCTGTGGTGCCTTCATTGACTACCTGTATAGCTGGATGACGATTCATGCTCCCCTGCTGCTGCTGCTAGTGCTGCTGCTTGTGGCCCATCCGCCACCCTTGCCGTGACATGAATGGCCTGCCGTGTGCCGCGGCGGAACAGCCGATGACACACACACGCACGGGAGAGTGGGTGAAGGTGTGTGTCTGTCTGTCTGTCTGTCTGTCTGTCGCGGTGCTCTTGTTTGTTGCCGTACCGGCGATGGCATCTGAGAGGGCTCTGTTGTGGAGGCGTTGTTCCTCTGCCTCATGACGACATCGCTCACCGCACCGCCGCCCGCACGGCCCTCCTGGCCCTCCTCCACATCCATTGGCTGCCGCTCGTCACCGCCGCCACGTTGGCCTGCAGATCTAGGAACGCACAGACACACACGATGTTTGCCGATAATGCTGTGTGTGATGTGCTGCATCTGTCTGAGTTGAGTGTACCTTCATCGCCATCGCCACCGTCCGCCGGGCCAGCAGCGGCCATGTCGGTGTCGGGACGACCAGATGACATCGCTCTCACAGACCAACAGCTGCACCATGGAACAAAACAGAGATGGGCCTGCAGGGACCTGATGCATTTGGTGTGCGCATCAATCAGTGCTTGCCTATCAAACGTATGAGCCGACTGCCAGCTGCACACACACGCTCACTGAACCAACCAGTCCGCCCGTCGACAAGGCAGACCTGAAGACCACCAACACACGCAGACAGCAAACAGATCATCCATCCTAGTGTGCTTGTGAGTGATCCAACTGCCGCATCTTGCCACTCACCGCTGGACAAGAAGCCGCTACGTGGCGATAGTGATGGTCCGTCACACAGCTGCAGCAGCTCTCAATGCTGGCGAGGCTCAATCAATGGCAGAATCGGCACACGAGAAGCGGCTGAGCGATGGACAAGCAAACTCGTCTGCAGGGCCTCACTGTGCCTCCGCTGGCTCGCCAAGAGGCCCTGGGAAGCACGAATTGTTTCGCTTCTGGACCACTCTCTCAGGCTCGCATCGATCCCCTTGCAGGTCGACAAAGGAGGGGGAAGGAGCCCTCCTGGTGGCTCACAGGGCTCGTCAGAAGTCACTCATTCAGCCGCAGTGAGCCCCAATCACTTTAGATGAGTTCCTCTGATGGGATGAGCAGCTCACTTGTGCGTCTGTCTGTGTGTGCCTAAGCGATGTCTGTGTCTGCACTGAGTGAATGAATAAAAAAGGCTTACTACGTCACACGCATGAGAAACAAAACAGCACGCAGCACACAACAGCAGCGTCGTGTGACACAGTCACCATCCCGCCGTCGGCCGCTCTTCGGGCTCACTGTGGCAGACGACAGGCACACACCCAACAACCATGGCATGTCATTCTCGCTCAACAGAGCAGCCCACACACACACGATGGCCACACACACGATGGCATCGCTTTCTCGCGATCGATCTCTACAGCTGCCTGCCCGGGAACACAAACACACACATGGCTCTCCCTGTCCCCGCCCCGCCCCTCCCCTCCCCGCTCACACAGTCTCAAGGGCTTGCCTGACAATCCCCTCACCGCCCCAGTCGCCCCATGGTCGAAACTCGATGCCCTCAATCATCATTCTACTCTACATGCGCTCATAAAATCACCGTCTCAAAATGCCGCACGGAACGTGCCGCACACACGCGCCCATTCGACATGCACAGAGATCAACGTGCAAGACGTAGGCCACAGCGAGATTGACAGAACAAGAAGGGCAGACTGCAACCATGCAGATATGCAATCGTATAAAGCTCGCGGCACACACATACACTCACCGACGGCTGGCTGGCCATCGGGACAGTAGCGAGTAGAGCTCGAGAGCATTAGCGGTGGCTCTTCTTTCTGATGTCGACAACGGACTTGAGCGCACTGGCGCTGTTCTCAAACGAAAGACTCTGACACATACAAATGAAACACAACATACACAGCCTCACGCACGTGCCTCTTGTTGTACCTGTTGGCGGCCAGTGGATTCTTCCGTTGCGGTGACGCACCCGATACCGTCGGCGTCGATATCGAATGTCACCTCGATGCCTGCGCCTTCGGGGGCGGGGGTGAGGCCGGTGAACGTGAACTGTCCCAGCAGATGGTTGTCTTTGGCCATAGGATTCTCGCCCTCGTACACCTTGAAGCTCATCTGCAACATGCACACATACGGAGATGGTATGGGTGTCACACCGTCGCGAGCATCTCACCTCTGTCTGATTGTCGTAAGTAGTCCAGAAGAAGTCTGATTTCTTGATGGGAATGTTGCTGTTGCGGTCGATGATGCGCAGGAACGCGTCTTTGACCTTGCCTTTCTTCCCCCAAATGCCGAGGGACAGAGGGGTCACAACGGGGAGGCCCTGCAGACAGACACACAACAACACACTCTATGGCCAACGTCCACACGGGTACACCTATGTCTCTACGACTGGCTAAGACTCACTCACACACTCACAAGCCCTATGGATTGGCGCACCTGCTGTCTGACACCATCAGGCGGCTTGACCGCACTGGCACTGTTCTTAATCATGAGGGTCTGACACACACACACACACACACACACACAGAGCCTCACACACGTGCGCCCTTTGATACCTGCGGCACACAGCCCTCCCTGCCTCCCGTGTGGCCACTTTCCGACCTGTTTGCGTCCATTGGATTTGTCTGTCGTGGAGACGCGGAGGATACCGTCGACGTCGATATCGAATGTCAGGTCGATCTTGCCTTCGCCTTTGGGGGCGGGGGCGATGCCAGTAAAGGTGAAGCTGCCGAGCAGATGATTGTCTTTGGCCATAGGGTTCTCGCCCTCGTACACCTTGAAGCTCACCTGCGACATGCACACACACTCATTAAGGTGGGTGTCTATTTGCGCGCGTGCGCATGATTCGGTCACGTCTGTCTGGTTGTTGTCAGCTGTAATCCGCTCGATTGACTTTCTGATGGGGATGATGGTGTCCCTGTCAACGATGCGGCAGAAGCTGCCGTCCGGACTGGCAATGCCGAGAGAGAGGCGTCACGTTGACAAGACCCTGCAAAGGGACACAGAACAACACACGTGCAAGAGTGTGTGTCCACGGTCTTATCGCTCCAGCTGGTCACCGTCGCTTTGAGGGTCTCGATGGTCGCGTCCCTCTCTGCCAGCTGCGCCTCGAGAGCCTCAGCTCTGGCACGCAAGTCCGGCGTGTCGCCGCCCGTTCCGCCCATGGCTGCACCGGGCACACGACAGGGTGCATTCTTCCTCTCAGGGCCTGTGTGCGTACCTTCGTTGAAGGACTTGTGTGTGATGCTTCAGCTGGTCAGAGGGATGGCAGATGGCGGCAGATCTGTCGGGAGAAACAAAAGAGGAATACACGACGGATGGGCAGTGGGGGAGGAATGCATTTCGGTGTACCTTTATTGAGAGATCCACTGTCAGTGAGGCTCAAAGTGATGCTGCTGACGCTTTGCTTGCCTTCAGAAGCCCAACAGAATCACTCTCCCTTTCGGTCGACGAGCTCGCGGCTTCTTCGGGGAGGGTGGGCTGAATTCATGGCTTTTGTGTTCGTGTTTGCTTGCAGCTGTGGCCCTGCGGCTGCTCCAACGACATGCACTTGAACGGGTCTCATTTGGCTCATCAACGTGGAGATGTCACTGCACACATACACGTCTGTCAGTCACTCAGCTGGCTATCGACACCCTTCCCACACGCAGTCAGTCAGTCAGTCAGTCAGTCAGCAGAGAGGCAGTGGGTCCCTCTATGCTGCCTACGGCTACCTACGGAGGGGCACTCGAGAGAGAGGCGGCCCGCCCCGCAGTGTGTCAGTCTCTCAGTCGGAGTGCGACACGAATGGCCGCATCCATTGGGCCACTTCTTCCATCGACCCGGCAAACACGACCTCTGTCTGGCACTGCTCGCACAAATAGCCCTCCGGCCGCAGCGGCAGCGGCTCCTTTGCCTCCTTGATGCGTTCCTTGTTGTCCTTCTGGCGACGGGCGTTGTCGGCCTTGAGGCGGGGGAGGCTGTGGTGCCAGGCATCCTTGCGTTGGGCGTAGCACTTGTTGCAGATGTGCATGTGTCTGCAGGGGACGTACATGACGGAGGCAGGGCCGTGCTCGCCGAAACAGATGATGCACCCGCCGGCCTGAATGGTGCCAGCACCATCACGACCACTGCCGGGCTGTGTTGGCTCGGGTGGCGGAGGGGCGCTCGAGCTGCTGGATGAAGACGGCTGGTGCTGCTGGATGCTCATCTCGGCAAGCCTGTGTGTGTGCATCAATCGCATTATGCACGTGTGTCTGTTACGGATGTGTGTGGGCCCGCGTACCTTCGTTCGGTCTCTGCGAGCCGCCTGGCCAGTTCATCGTTCTTCCGCTGGAGCTCAGCCTCTCGTGACGACACTCCCACACTGCACACACACACACACACACACACATATATATATATATATATACATAAAGACATGGCAAGGCATTCCAATCGGATCCGTACCATCCGTACGTCAACGCCCGTGTGTGTGGCACCCACCTAAGCTCTACACCACCAGCACCACCACCAGCAGCAGCAGCCGAGGCGCCCTGGTCGCCCTCATGATCATGCGATGGCCTGACCACACACACATAAAGCCGATGAAGTGACGAGCCGCCCATCGTCGCTTTGTGTGTCGGTGGGCCTGCCTACCCTAGTGGCCCTTGGTATGGTATTGCTGCTGCTGCTGCTGCCACAGCTGGTGGTGGTGCAGCAGCACTGGAATCGTCGTAGCTACTGGACGACGGACAGGCGTCAAAGGTGGACCTGACACACCACATAACAAACATATGGCAGTTCAATGGTGGCTGTGCTGCGATGGTTGACAGCTCTTGTGTGCTACCTTGGCCCGTAGAATGGCGACGGACGGTGCTCATTCTGACTCAACGACGCCCCAAGTGGCCTGAGAAAATGCATGCAGAACATCCACCCACCGGTGTGTGCGTGAGGTGTCCTGATGTCGGCCTGTCTGTGCCTTACTTGGGGCACTTGACGAGTGGCGGAGGGCCCCGGTGACACGACGGACGATGACCACTCGACGACGGCGGACACACAGCCCTGGACACTGCATCCTTCAGAGGGCCCAGCGGCCCTGCTGCTGCGGATGCGCCTATGGCATGGCCACCAGACGAGAGCGACGAAGAGGGCTGCATGGATGGCGGGGGCATCATCATGGCGGCGGTCCTGGCCTCGTGGAGTGATGCAAGGATGGCCATCTGGGTCTGCGCATCATGGTCCTCGTCATTCTCACTGCACACAAACAATATGACACCTCGGTGCTCTGGGTAGTGAGTGTCGTTTGCCGCTCCGAATGACCGCGGTGAGGCAGATCCAGATGCGGCACCTGACGAGTGAGATGAGGGCCTGCAAACCAACAAGGGAGAGAATGTGATCACATCCACTGGCCAACGGAGACTCACCTGTGTCGGTTCGGCCGACGACTGCCCTTGTTGTCGGCGTCATCAGCAGCTGCCGCAGCCGACGGCAGCCTGCATGACAGCCAGGAGAAGTAAGCAAGTCTGTGGTGGGCCTCGCTGTGCCGACCTCTGCAGTGTGTCTATGTCTTCGCCGTCGGCACCAGTTTCCTCTACGTCGCTACCAGCGTCATGCTCAACACCCTCCTCAGCCACCGACTCAACACGCCTACAAGAGCCCCCAACGACACGATAAGATCCATGCACCATAAGCGGCCCCCCACCGATGTGTGCGTGAGGGGTCCTCATGTCGGCCTCTCTGTGCCTTACTTGGGGCACTTGACGAGTGGCGGAGGGCCCCGGTGACACGACGGACGATCCACACTCGACGAGGAGGGAAGCACACTGACACGAAATGAGACAACGAAACACATCAACACCATTCATTGTGCCCAGCCATCGATCCCCTTCTCTGTGTCTGTCTGCTTACGGCTGTTGTGACCCATGTGCCAGAGGGGGGAATGACTCATCGGCACCGCTCGCCGGTCTGTGTGCAGGTGGCAGGGGCCGAGGGGGTGGGGGCGGGTGAGAGGGACTCGACGACACAAACGGTCGCCGCTTGGCCGACTCGCGCGGCTCCACAGCCGACGGCAGCGGGGTAGTGGAAGGGGCCGCCCGAGACGACAACGACAGGCATGGTGCAGCAGCCGGGAGGCCCAGCCCCCTCCCTATGCCCAACTTGCTGCTTGCCGATGGACCCGGCAGGCGCTTCTCCCGCGGCGTCTGGTCGGCCGTCGACACACAGCTGGGGCGAGAGAGCAGAAGACGATCAGCCGAGGGCTGCTCTGTCGTCTTGTGCTTGGGTGTGGGGGGATGGAAGGGCGAGAAGGGGGAACGAGTCGACGCTTTGGTGTGGGCAGCTCTCTGGGTCCTGATGGGGGCCGTCTTCTGCTGTTTGTGGTGGGTTGTCTGCTTCTGCCTTTCGATGGCGCGGCTGGCGAAGGTCGACCCCACCAGCAGGGCGTCGCCGTCCTCATCTTGATCATCGGCTGCCCCACTGCTGTCTGCCTGGTCGTCTTCGCCGCCCGGCGGGCAGCTGGTGGAGGTGGAGGTGGCTGTTGCGCTCGCCTGCCTCTTGCCCCCCCGCTTGCCCTTCTTCTTGCCACCCGTCTTCTCCTTAGCCGCCGCCCTCTCCTTGTTGGCCGCCTCCTCCTCTTTGATGAGGGCCGCCATCTTCGCGTCGGCCTCCCTCTGCTGCCACGCCAATTCGGCCTCTGTGGGCACCTCCTTGGCGTGTCGTGTGGCCTGCCGCCTCTTGTGCCTGTCGCGGTGCTCCTTCAGTTTCTGCAGCCGCTCCTGCGCCTCGATGATGGCGGGGCGCGGCTCGCGAATGGGCAGCTGCTTGGGCAGCGCCGTGCGCTCCGCCAACACCAGCTGGCGGCAACGACGCTGATGCTCTGTAGCAGTGGGCATGAGGGCGATGTCAGCGCCCGACTGGAGCAGCACACGGATGGTGGTCTTGAGGTTGGAGATCCGGATGGTGGCCCGGTCCCTCTCGGCCTGCTCCGTGTTGTCGTCCTGCAGCTGTTGGATGTCGTCATCGAGCTCTGTGGCAGCGGTGGCGAGGGGTGTGAGAGTGGGGTCATTCGGCAGGCCTCTGTTGACGTCAGCAGCGGTGAGGCGGCGACAGAGAGAGGCAGCCAAACGGTGGGAGCCGCCGATGGCCGCGCAGTGTAATGGCGTCCGTCCGAAGGTGTCCACGGCCGTGATGTCGGCCCCGTTGGCCACCATCAAGTCGATGTAGCTCTCGATGAACTGCTGAGACCAGACGGGAGGTCTCACGGCCGCCACATGGACCAGATTGATGCCACCCGGGTCCCGCTCGGTTGCGAGTGTGGGGTCTCGCTGGATGAGCTGCCGGTAGAAGGACAGCAGGATGGCCTCGCTGTCCTCAGTCGGCTGATCCGTCGGCAGTGTGGGCGGCAGCAGCATCACCAAGCGCCCCCGCAGCTGAATGCCTGGAACAGACAGACAGACAGACAGACGTCCATCATGGTGTGTGTTCCTTGTCGTGAGTGCTGTGAATGGGTGTGTACCTGGCTGGCCCATCAGGAGCTCGAATGCGGCCCGGTTGCACGAGGCGATGGCCACTCGGATGGGCGTATGATGACCCGCCCCATTGATGTCGGCGCCGTTGTCGATCAGGACCTGGATGACGGCGAGCTGAAGGCCGGGTGTCTCCCACATGGGCATGGCGACGGGAGTGCAACCACCATTGACGTCGTATGCCCAGATGGACGGCACGCTGTTGTCCGTGAGGTTGTCAATGCACAGCGACAGCAGGGAATAGGCTAAATAGGCACCCGTGGTGCCCGCCACCCGCAGCAGTGGCTCCACATTGGGGTCGGCTCCATTCGGCTGAATCAGGTCCGTCACCTGCTGTGCGTCAGTGACGGTGCGGCGGAGGATGCACTTGGACACCATCAAGCTGGCGTCACTGGTGCCAGGAGGGACGGTGACGCCATTCCCACAGCTCCTCCAGCCAGGTGATCGCGGCACACCTGTGGTTGGCACAACGGGCAGATTATTAACGATGAGCTCTGGAAAGGCGATTCTGATTTGTGTAGCGGTGGGTCTGTCGGTCGGCGTCTACCTCTGTTCAGTCGAGTCCGGCCTTGTCCGCTGCGCTGCTGCCCGCCAGCACCCCCACCGACGCCGACACCGAGACCCCCACCAACACGGCTAACACCTGCACAAGCACACACACACGAGCAGTCATAACCGTGCTGCTTGCTATATCTCACAGCTCGTCGCTCACCCTCGTCAATGCCATCATTGCGATTGTCTTTGTTCTCTATGTGCCGGCCGGCACCGGTGGTCTCCTCCTCGGCTACATCGTCTGCAAAGGAACACACACATTGACACACACGATGCTGTGAGTGATGTGGTGCATCTGTCTGAGCTGAGTGTACCTTCATCGCCATCGCCACCGTCGGCCGGGCCAGCAGCGGCCATGTCGGTGTCGGGACGACCAGACGACATCGCTCTCACTCACTCAGACAGACAGACAGACAGCTGCACCAGGGACCACACACACAGAGATGGGCCTGCAGGCATCTGATGCATTTGTTGTGTGCATCAGTGCTAGCCGACAGCCAGCCACAGACGCTCACTCAATCAACCAGTCCGCCCGTCGACAAGGCAGACCTGAAGACCACAAACACACACACGGACAGCAAACAGAATGAGCCAATCGTCGCATCTTCCCACTCACCGTCGCAACACCGTCGGACGAGAAGCCGCTACCTGGCGCGATGATCTCTTGGGCAGCAGGGCTGTGCACACTCGATAAGATGGAAAGGCCGCTAATTCCGCTGATGGATAGGTGGGCACACGAGAAGCCGCTGCAGCGATGGGCAGACGGACTCGTCCGCTGAGCAGGGCCTCACTGTGCCTCCACTGACGCACCAAGAGGGCTCGCAAGAGGGCCTATAGGAAGCGATTCGTGTCTGTTTCTTCTGCCTCTCTCTCAGGCTCGCACCGATCGGCTCGCGAGTTTTCTTCACAGGAGGGGGAGCCCTTCTGATGGGCTCACAGGGTTCGTCAGGAGTCAAGCATTCGGCCGCAGTGAGCCCCAATCACTTTGGATGAATTGCTCTTGATGAATGAGCAGCTCACTTGGCTCCCGGAGTGTGTGTGCTGTCTGTCTGTGTCCTGATTCTGTCTGTCACACTGTCACGACCATTGCAGTAGTGAACGATACAGAGTAGTCATCACTTTACACGCGGTACATGTATTCATCAGCCATTCCGTCCATCAGAAAAGCCTGTAAGCACCAGTTACGCCACACATCACCAGACACTGTCATGGATGGCAGGCAGTCGGGAGCGGCACACATCGCAATGACACTACGCCAGCAGACGGGGGGCGAGGAAAAACCCATTTGGCTGTCTGTGTGTCTGTCTGTCTGTCTCACCCTTCTGTCTGCTTGACAGTTGAGGACACCCTTCATCGATCTCTCTGTCCGCAATGGTGACCTACACTCTCTGGATAGCATCGATCTCATGGGATGGAAGAGCCACTCAGTCAAAAAGCTGTCTCTCTCCCTCCCCCAGTCCGCTACACACTCTCCTGTCCTCTCCCGCCCTCTCCCACATCGATGTCTGTTGGCAGGCTGGTAGGGACGTCATGTGATGGGCTGATCGGCCCACTGCCGCACACGGTGCACAAACGAATCTCACGTCAATCGTGACTTATATGAACATGTAATGGAATGCAGTGTAATGCGAAGCTCCTCCCGCTGGCTGGCCATATATAGTGAGTCGGCACGTCAACAGCTGGGCTGGCTGGCATCGTCCACCACCTGTACAACAAACACAGCCCGCCATTCCCCTCTGCCTGTCTGTCTGACCTACTCAATTGTCCGTCTGCACATGCGCTGTGATGGTCTTCTCGGCGACACTGCGGCACGCAGGGCATTGCAGCACAGAGTGGCACTTGACGTCATCGGGCACCGGCTTGCCCGCCCCCTCCGGCCGCGCCTTCTCTGCCTTGGCACTCTCGTGTCTGCCCTTCCACTGCTGCCAGCATTCGGCACACAGGCACAGGTGGCGACACGGATCAAACAGCACTGTGGGCGAGTTGTGGTTGCAGATGACGCAGATGGGACGAGGCGGGAGAGGCGGTGCTGCAGCAGCCGATGCGGCCGCCGCTTCCCTGTCCTCCAGCCGACCCTCCATCTTGTTGGCCTCCTTGCCGAGTGCCCGCAGTGCCACCTTGGCCTTCGCGATGTCGCGCTTGAAGGCCTCCACATCTTCAGGTGACCGCAGGGATGACAGCCGGTACTCCGTCAGGCTGCATACACCCAACAAGACGACGACGGCACCAACAAGGGTGCATGGGCGCCTGAAATCGTTTGCGCGTGTGTGTACCATGTGCGAGCTATCTGCAGCAGGCGGTCGTGCTCTTGCTGGAGTGTTGGTATGGTGGTCGCCTCGGCTGCCGCAGTCGCCTCCGTCACTGTCGAGATGTCCGCCTCCAGCCTGCAGGGCAGCGAAGGGGCAGCATCCATCAACAGACTCCATCACTCGTTTGTACGTGTGTGTGCTTACTGCCGCAGCTTGGCCTTGGTGCTCTCCAGCATCTCACGAAGCTGCCCTTCCGATGACAGCGAGTCGATCTCGTCGGCTATCTCGTCAGCTATCTCGTCAACACGCGAAGACCTGAATAAGTGTCGATCAATCGCTTGTGTGGGCATGCACGTGTGTGTGTGTGTGTGTGTGTTGTCGTTACTCACCTTTGAATGCGATCATCGTTGCAGGCTACATAAAATGGCGCAGATGGGGACGGCAGACGGGCAAACAGGGACCCGCTGCCGTTGCCGGCACGTGTGTGGCTATCGCTGGTGCGGGAGGTCTCACACGCACTGCTGTAGAGTTGGTCGAGCCGCTCGTCTTCGCGCGTGACCCTCTCGCCGAACTCACACACCTCCGCTGCCGTGGTCAGGGCCATCAGCGCATCGCGAGTCAACCTGAAGGACCACATGAATCGATTAACGAAGATGATTCAAAGCGATGCATTTGTATGTATCTTTGTACGTGTCTGTTTGCTCTTGTGTGGCTTCTGTGAGTGCCCCTATGGCCGCGTTGAGCTCATTGGTCCGCTCCATGATGCTCGAGTGCCGCTCCAGCGCCTCCCCATAGCGTCGCTCCATGCTGCAGACAAATGGAGTGAACGCACACATGACGCAGCCAACCCTCCGCCCATCCATCCATCCATCCATCCCTTGCTGACCTCTGTTGATCCTGCATAGCCTTGCACACTGCATCCCTCAGAGAGCCGAGCGATGCTGCTGCTGCCGCCGCCGATGCGCCACTGGCGTAGCCAACAGACCAAAGTGACGAAGAGGGCGGCATGGGTGGCGGGGGCATCATGGTGGCGGTGGTGGCGTCGTGCAGCGATGCAGCGATGGCCATCTGTGTCTGCGCATCATGCTCCTCCTCGTCCTCACTGCACACCCAACTAATGACACTTGTGCCGTGGTGCAGATGCCTGTCTAGGGCATGTAACGGACCTGTCGTCTCCATCTTGGTGTGGTGGATGGTGCTTGTCGGCTGCCGGTATGAGAGCCGGCCCAGCTCCGACCGATGCGGCCACCGCGCTACTGACCGAAGACGAGTGCAACACCGCCCGCACGCCACTGCCGGCCGGCCCAGCCGTGCCGCTGCCGTCGCGCTGCAGAGGCTTGGTGAGAGGCCGGAGAGGCTCAGCACCGGAGGAACGAGAAGAGGGCCGCGTGGTGTCCGCAGACTCGGACATTGGCCTGTAAATCAGGAGAGGATGCCGTCGGTATAAGTGAGGGTTGACAGCGGGGCGTTAGTGTGAATGCGTGAGCTTCGCTGTGTTGACCTCTCCTGCTGTGTGTCTGTGTCTTCGCCGTCAGCACCAGTTTCCTCTACGTCGCTACCAGCGTCATGCTCAACACCCTCCTCAGCCACCGACTCAACACGCCTACAAGAGCCCCCAACGACACGATAAGATCCATGCACCATGACCCTCCACCGATGTGTGTGCGTCAGGGGTCCTCATGTCGGCCTGTCTGTTCCTTTACTTGGGACACCTGACGAGTGGCGGAGGGCCCCGGTGACACGACGGACGATACCCACTCGACGACGGCGGTAACAGGTCGTCACTGACACAAAATGAGACAACGAAACACGCCATTCATTGTGCCCATCCATCTATCCCCTTCTCTGTGTCTGTCTGCTTACAGCTGCTGTGGCGCATACGCCAGAGGGGGGAATGACTCATCGGCACCGCTCGCCGGTCTGTGTGCAGGTGGCAGGGGCCGAGAGGGTGGGGGCGGGTGAGAGGGACTCGACGACACAAACGGTCGCCGCATGGCCGACTTGTGCAGCTCCTCAGCTGACGGCAGACGAAGAGGGGAAGGGACCGGCCGAGCCGACAGGGATGGTGCAGCAGCCGGGAGGCCCAGCCCGCTGTCTCTGCCCAACTTGCTGCCTGCCGATGGGCCCGGCAGGCGCTCCTCGCGAGGCGTCTGGTCGGCCGTCGACACACCGCTGGGGTGAGAGAGCAGCAGACGATCAGCCGAGGGCTGCTCAGTCGTCTTGTGCTTGGCTGTCGGGGGCTGGAAGGGCGAGAAGGGGGAACGAGTCGACTCTTTGGGATGGGCAGCTCTCTGGGTCTTGTTGGTGGCCTTCTTCTGCTTGGCGTTCGTGGCCTGCGCATGGCTTTCGATGGCGTGGCTGCCGAAGGCCGACCCCAAAAGTAGGGCGTCGCCGTCCTCATCTTGATCATCGGCTGCCCCACTGGTGTCCGCCTGATCGTCTTCGTCGCCCGGCGGGCTGCTCGTGGAGGTGGGGGCCGCTGTTGCGGACGCCTGCCTCTTGCCCCCCTTCTTGCCCTTCTTCTTGCCCGCCTTCGCCTTAGCCGCTGCCCTCTCCTTGTTGGCCTCCTCCTCTTTGATGAGTGCCGCCATCCTGGCGTCGGCCTCCCTCTGCTGCCGCGCCAACTCGGCCTCTGTTGGGGCCTCCTTGGCCTGTCGTGTGGCCTGCCGCCCCTTGCGCCTGTCGCGGTGCTCCTTCATCTTCTGCAGCCGCTCCTGCGCTTCGACGGTGGAGGGGCGCGGCTCGCGAATGGGCAGCTGCTTGGGCAGCGCCATGAGCTCCGCCAACACCAGCTTGCGGCAATGGCGGTCCTCCTCTGTGGCAGTGGGCATGAGGGCGATATCAGCACCCGCCTGGAGGAGCACACGGATGGTGGTCCTGACGTGGGGGATCCGGATGGTGAGCCGATCCTTCGCTGCCTGCCCCGTGTTGTTGTCACGCAGCCGCTGGGTGAACTCATCGAGCTGTCGGGCAGCGTAGGTGAGGACTGTGTTGGTGGGCTCATTTGGCTGCCCTCTGTTGATGTCGGCAGCAGTGAGACGGCGGCAGAAAGACGCGGCGACACGATGGGAGCCCCAGAAAGCCGCGTGGTGCAGCGGCGTCCGTTCCTCAGAGTCCACGGCCGTGATGTCGGCCCCGTTGGCCACCAGCAGGTCGATGTAGTCCTCGATGAACTGCTGAGACCAGACTGGAGGGCTCGAGGCCGCGTCATGCAGCAGGTTGCTGCCACTGTCGGCATCGGTCTCAGTTGCGAGTGTGGGGTCTCGCTGGATGAGCTGCCGGTAGAAGGACAGCAGGATGCGCTCGTGAGCCTCAGTCGGCTGGTCCGTCGGCAATGGGAGCGGCAGCTGCATCACAAGGAGCCCCGGCAGGTGGAGCCCTGCAATAGACAGACAGACAGACAGACAGAGAGAGAGAGAGAGAGAAGGCGTCCACCATGGTGTGTTTCGTGTGTCGTGAGTGCTGTGAATGGGTGCGCACCTGGCTGGCTCATCAGGAGGTCGAAGGCGGCCCGGTTACACGAGGCGATGGCCACCACGATGGGCCTATGGTCACCCTCACCCCCATTGATGTCGGCGCCTCCCTGGATCAGGCTTCGCATGACGGCGAGCTGGAGTCCGGGTGTCTGCCACATCGGCATGGCGACGGGACAGTCGCCCTCGCCGCCGGCTGCCCAGATGGACGGCACGCTGTTGTGAGTGAGGTTGTTGATGCACAGCGCCAGCAGCGGATAGGCCAGGTAGTCATCCGTAGTGCCTTCCACCCGCAGCTGTGGCTCCACATTGGGGTCGGCCCCCTGCTGGTGGATCAGGTCCGGCACATGCTCTTCGTCAGTGACGGTGCGGCGGAGGATGTGCCGACACAGCCGAATGCTGGCGTCGGCGGTGTCAATAGGGAAGGCGAGGTCGATGCCGTTCTCCAAGCTCTTCCAGCCAAGTCGTAACGGCGGACCTGCGGCTGGCACAGACAATCCGGCAAAAGACACACATACAAGATTATTCACGATGAGCTCTGGAAAGGCGATTCTGCTTTGTGTAGCGGTGTCCCTGTGTCGATCGGCGGTTTCATCTGTTCGGTCGAGTCCGGCCCTGTCCGCTGCGCTGCTGCCCGCCAGCACCCTCACCGACGTCGACACCGAGACCCCCACCAACACGGCTAACACCTGCACACACACAACGACAGAGCAGTCATGACCGTGCTGCTTACTATATCCCACAGCTCGTCGCTCACCCTCGTCAATGCCACCATTGCGATTGCCTTTGTTCTCTATCTGCCGGCCACCACCGGTGGTCTCCTCCTCGGCTACATCGTCTGCAGAGGAACACACACATCCACACACACGATGCTGTGAGTGATGTGCTGCATCTGTCCGAGCTGAGTGTACCTTCATCGCCATCGTCACCGTCGGCCATACCAGAGGCCATGTCGGTGTCGGGACGACCAGACGACATCGCTCTCACTTACACAGACAGACCAACAGCTGCACCATAGACCACACAGACGGCTAAGGGCCTGCAGGCATCTGATGCATTTGTTGTGTGCATCAATCAGTGCTTGCCTATCACAAGTAGGAGTCGACAGCCAGCCGCACACACACTCAATCAACCACTCCGCCCGTCGACAAGGCAGACCTGAAGACCGCCAACACACACAGACACACAGACAGCAAACAGATCATCGGTGTGCTTATGAGTGATCCAATGGCCGCATCGTCACTTACCGTTGGGCGAGAAGCCGCTACAGCTACGTTGCTGGATAATCCATCGGGCCACGAATCGTGTCGGTTCTCGCCTCTCTTAGGCTCGCACCGATCGGCTCGGAGGTCGTGGGCGAAGGAGCCATTCTGTGGGCTCACGAGCCTCGTAACGTGCCAATCATTCGGCCGCAGTGAGCCCCGCTTGCTTTGGATGAATCGTTTTGGCGGATGAGCAGCTCGCACTGTACCATGTTGTGATTGACAGACTCCTATGTGCCCGCGATGTTTGTGTCTGGCTGCGTGAATCGATAAAGAGTGGTCACTACGTCACACACGGGTGCGATCACATGAGCACACACACAGTGCAACAAAAGCATAAGACATTTCACACACTCATCATCCTTTCCCGCCCTGCCGCTCTTAGAGCTCACTGACAGCAGTCGACAGGCACACACCAAACAAACATGGCTCACGTCATCCTCGCTCAACAGAGCAGCACACACACGACGGCCACACACACGACGGCATCGCTTTCTCGCGATCGATCTCTACACTGTCAGCTGACTGCCCCTCTGAGAAACACACACACAGGCTCTCCCTCTCCCCTCCCCCCGCCCCCCTAGCCCACACAGCCTCTCTCAAAAGGTCGCCATCTTGCCTAGCAATCCCCCCGCCGCCCCAGTCACCACAACAGGGGCCACCAACCGCACCAGCAGCGCCGCCAGGACGACCCCCACCGCCCAGATGCGCCTTCTCGTGGCGTTGTCCCGCCGCAGCATCTCACTGTACTTGATGTCGGCTCGCGTCAGCGATGTCATCACAGAGGGGCTGAAGGCGAACGGGAACAGGCGGCTGAGCAGCCGCTTGATCAGCAGGTCCGCGAAGAGTTTGAGTTTGTAAGCGGCCGGGGTCCATTCCCTGGCGACGTTTTTGTAGCGATGTGACAGGACGGCCAGCGCACGACAGTCGGGCTGGCGCTCCTTCGTGAAGCGCGGCAAAGCCTCTCGCCAATCGTCGTTCGTCGCGTCGAGGATGGTGCTGAGGATCTGCACATCTTCGAGAGAGGAGCTCACACCCTGGCCAATGTCCTGATTGCATCACACACATCCACACACACACATCAATGTGCCCACATGGATGTGTTGTCTTATTACTGCAGGGAAGGAGTGGATGGCGTCGCCCATCAGCAGCACCCGGCTGCCGTGATGGCACGTCGATGCGTAACGGGGCAGTGAAAACCGGCCAATCTTGCGCTTTGCAAACAGCTCGGCCTCGGCCATCGGCACGATCTCGCGAAGATTCCTCACAAACGGCAGATTACCCTCAAGACACCGAAGCACCTCCTCTCCGGTGTTGCAGCCCAGAATGGGGTGGTCCTTTGTGCAGAGCACCAGCACCACTCGCTCTTGGTTGGCCGGCCCTCCAAAAGATGTCAGTCGGAAGGGAAGCTTCCGATTGCGGAGCGCAGAGAGGAGGATGATCACAGTGGAGGGCAGAAAGCGGAGCTTCTCGCGAGGGCCCGGCTGACTGGAGGGCTGATAGTCGACGGTGAGGTCAGATGGCAGGCAGAGCATCTTGTAGCGGACGTCGTTGACCCCGGCAAGGCTGCTGATGTTGGACAGGCAGTGGATGCGAAAGGTCTTGTCGAGGCGCTTCATCGACTCGACGACCTTTGAGTTGACGCCGTCACAGCCGATCACCAGGTCCGCGTCGATCATCTTTTCCTTCCCACTGCGAGTGTCGCGGTAGATGACGCGCACACACTCGCTGCTGGGCTTGTCCACGGTGGCCACTTCAGCCCCGAGGACAACGTGGATGGCGTCGGAGAGGCCGCTGTCGGAGTGGATGTGGTCGTATAGCATCCTCACGAGGGACTGGCGCTTGAGGGCCGTCACGTTGGAAGGCTTGGTGGCCACCAGAAAGGGAGACCAGTCGGATGGCTTCAGTGTCGTCACATTGGACATGTACTCTGATGGATGGATGGACACATACAGAGGCAGGCAGGCAGGCAGGCTGGTAGGTAAGTGTGTTGTGCCGCGTGTCTGGCATGAGTCGCTCATTCACTGACCAGGTACGCCTTCTCTGTCCATCCTGTCTACGTCAACGCCAATCGAGCTGAGGGCATTCCTCCCTCGAGGGAACACCCCCAACACGTACGTGCGGTCCTTCTCTGCGGACAGCGGCAAGGAAAGAAGGAAAAGATGATAGACTCCGATCTGGTTATCTGATCTGGCGTGGACAACGATCGTGTGTGCCTGCCTCATCATCCAGCCTACCTGCCAAATACTCCGCCTCATCCATCCTCTCCAGCACAGTGATGTCCCTGATCAACGCAACAAGCGCACACACAGTCCAAGTGTGCAAGTGCGTGCGTGTGTGTGTGGGTATACCGATAGCCTCTTCTCGCGAGCATGATGGCCGTTGCAAGGCCTGTTGGTCCGCCACCGGAGATCACTATCCGCTCAGGGTGTGGACGAGAGGGAATGAGTTGCTGCTGCTGCTGCTGCTGCTGAGTGGCCGTGAAGGCAGCTGGTGCCTGATGAGTTCGCGTCAGCCATGGACGCGCAGAGTGTGACCGATGCAGCCGAAAGCCACATGCACAGTAAGACAGCACGAGGAAGAACGAGAGATGACAGATGAGATCATTGCATGCCATGCCGTTTGAAGCAATAGGGAAGACCGTGCCGCGTCCTCCTGAAGACAGATCTCTTAAACTCCTGAAGGCAGATTTCAGCTGTTTGCTCTCAGCCTCTGCGAGCTTAGCCTGCGAGCAGTTTTTTCTTGTACGTGATATCCGCCGTGTGTTAACGCGTGAGCAGACAGATCTGCAGTGAGAAAAGGCCAGAAGGCTGAGTCAGATCCCCAGTTGACCATCCCCGCCGAGTGTCACTGGGCCCCACGAAGAGAGAGACGCTCGCCCGGTCCAAGCAGGGCAGCCCGTTCCCCACACACAAATCATGGGCAACCTGACGAGCGTGCCCTGCATCCCCATCGCCAAGGACGCCGTACCATTCACTGCATGTACGCACACACAAACAGCAGTGCACTGCAGTGCATCGCTCATGGGGGCGTGCGAGGGCCTGTCTGTCTTCCTGTGATGCAGGGAGTGTTGAGTGTGTGGAGGAGCTGGTGGGTTATGTGGCTGACAACGAGGAGGGCTCCTTCAGACTCACCAAGTGGAGGATGCTCTCCGTCCTCGGCAGCCAACACCTTGTGGATGTCAACAAGTGAAAGGCTTCCTGCCACTCAATGGCTCTCTCTCTCTCTCTGTCTCTCTCCGTGCGCGTCTGTTCAGTTTGTTTACCTTGTATGAGCCAGGGTGTGTGTCTGGTGCCGTCAACGGCCTATCCGTGGCGACCGGCCTGCTGCTCACCAACCGGCACATGTCGGTGGCAGAGCGCACCCGACGGTGCCTCGCAATGTTTGACTGGAACAACCGGTCCGCATCAGGGAGAGACGCTTTCATGAACGCCAGCACGTGTGTGTCTCTGCATGTGACATGCGATCAGGGGAGGTCTGGACGCGATGGATTTGGCTATGCTGATCCGGACGGCGTCCCAGGCGGTGACGGCCCTCACACAGGGGTGTCTGCATGAGGTGACAGACGAGCAGGTGGCCAGGTGGTGCGCACTGGCTGTGCCCGACAGCCAACTCCCAATGCCCATCAGGCAGGCAGTTGTGCATTCAGTAGCCACACCCCTTCGCTCATTCACTCGGAACAGCCTTTGCCGATTCTCTGTCTGCGTTGCGTATGCAGTGGTCTTGAGGAGTGGGCAGCCGAGAATGAGGACATCTGCATGTTCTTTGGAAAGTTGGCATTCTCACAGCAGGTACGGTGCCTACCCACGGGGATTGGGTGTGTGAGCCCTTCCGCTATTTTGCCTGTCCATATGTCTGTGTAGGATGCGGAGGCCATCACGCTGGCCTCTCGCCAGGCCGAAGAAGATCGGTTAGTACCATGATGCTTAATGTGCTGTCGCTCAGATTCCATCTCTTTCGTGTGTCCTCATCTGTGTGCAGCGCAGCACAGGAAGCCGCGGCGGCAGCAGCAATAGAGGAGGAGCAGATACAGGTATCCAAAGAGCCAAAAGGCGTACTGAGCGTCGACCCACACACAGCCCATGTGTGTGTCTGTACATGTCTAGGAGCCCCCCGATGCACACAAGGAGGGCACTCGGCTGCGTGAAGTCCAGCAGCAGCCACACATGGCCGAGGAGGGGCAGGGGATCGTCCCTGCTGATGCAGAGGGAGAAGAAGTGGCGGCGAGCCATGACTATCTGGAAGGCATGTACCGCATCAAGCTTGATGCCGACAAGCTGAGGGCATCACTCGAGGCAGCCAACCAAGATGAGAAAGAGAGACATGAGGTGAGATCAGCTGCTCTCTTCACCCACACACACATCCATCCATCCATCCACTCTCATCCGTGTGCGTGTTTGTGTGTGCAGGTCGAGAGCCGCATATCGGCGTTTAGAGACGCCCTCGCATCCATGAGAGCCACACTATCCTCGCACCAGCAGGCCCTGCCCACTCTGCCGGCAGAGACACTGCCCACCCTGCACACACTCACATCTCTCCATGCCTTTCTGCTGCCAATCATGGACTCCGCCCTCACACACGACCTCTCATCTGTGCCAAATGAGAGCGAAGGTGGTCATCAGGGCGTAAGTGTGGCTGTGGGACACGTGGTTGGCGTGGCGAGGGAGATGCGCGTGCTCCGGTGCGTGTGCGCCGCGGCCAAGAAGGCCTATGGGAAAGTGCAGTCGGCCATCTATGACGGTCGGTGAGCTGACAGGAACACAGAGATGAGGGCATTACCTGTAGTGTCTTTCGTGTGTGTTGTATCCCTCAGCGAGTGCGCTCAAGTCAGCCGAGGACGCACTCGGGTCGTTCCTCACCTCCCACCCCCCTCACACAGAAGTAGTAGATGAGGGCAGTAGGGATGACACTGATAGCGATGTGCGGGGGGCCCTGAGCAGCAGACTGACCCGCCTGCACACACTCAAGATGAGGACACTGCAGCAGCTCTACCTGCTCACCACGGTGAGAGAGATATGACTAGGTATGTGCAGCGATCCATTCGGCGTCTCGTGTGGCTGTGGTGTGGTTGACAGCATCATGAATCCCCAAGAGAAGAGTTGAAGAGGTTAGTCACCTGTCTCTGTCTGTGTCTCTGCGCAGTCAAGAGGCACTCACTGTGTACACGCGCTTTCCTCTTTTTCTGCAGGTCTCTGTGTCGCGTGCAGTGCGCTATCGATCAGTGTGCCCACCTTATGAAGGACGACCAGGGCCTCAATCCCGATAAGAAGCAGGCCGTTTCGCGCACTCACAGCGAGGCACAGACACTGCAACAGAAGACGCAAAATAAGGCACGTTTGCAAGAGAGAGAGAGAGAGAAACATACACTGCGCCGCCTGTTGTTTGCAGATGAGCTCTTTGTGTGACATTGTGGGTGCCTTGGGGGACTACTTCGATGAAGAAGACGAGATATGGAGCGATCCCGACCCAGACAGTGTCACAATCCGGCTCAAACAGAGGCTTGCCGACATCAGGAAGCAGGAAGAGTGAGCAGAAGCACACAGTGGAGCCAATATGCACGTCAACCTGTGTGGCTGTGGATGGCTGTTGTGCGTGTAGGTGTTTTCGCTCTCTCTTGCCCGAGATTGTATCGTCCGAGTCGGATCCACAGATGGTGCATGAGGAGCTCAAGAGGAAATACGGTAGTCAAATAGCGAGACAGAGACATGGGATGGAGATCGTTCTGTCTGTGTGTGTGCGTGTGTGCATCTAGATGACCTGTGTGCGCGTCGTGTGACGGCCGACATCCACTCGCACATCCATGAGCACGACGCCAAGGCACTCCACACATACCTCACGTACGACAAATCAGACAGACACACACGGACATATGTGCCCTGATATGACGCAGTGCGTGTGAGGGTGCCGTGTTGGCGACCGAGGCGCTGTCGGCCGTCACCTCATCCCTCGCCGCGTGTACGTGTGTTGCAATGAAGAGGGCAACGAAGGTCTGTCTGTATTTCGTGTGTGGGCCTTCAGCGTCGCCGTTGGACGTGGAGATGGCACGTCTCGATGCTGCACAGTGGATAGACACGTACACACGCCCACCGCAAGTCACATTCATGACAGACAGACACAGACGTCGTGTCTCTCTCTTTCTATCAGTCCGGCCATATCTGAGATGGCCACACTTCACGAGACGCCAGACTACCGCGGTTTCAGTGCCGTTCCCTTCTCAAGTGTATGTCACACTCCCGTGGACACATGTGCGTGTTGCGACTTTGAATGCATCTCTTCGTCTGTCCGTCCATCAGGCATTTCCCCGCCGTGTGTTGGAGGTCGCCCGCTCACTGTGGCGAGAGGTGGAGCAGCACGGGCGGGGATGCACATGGATACAACAGCAGTCCACACCATCACCATCACCGCCAGTACCACCACCACCACCAGCAGAAGCGACCCCAGAAGACACAGACGGCACAGAGCAGCAGCAGCCACAGCAGGCCGCTGATGAGAGTGTACAGCAAGATGAAGAGGGAGCAGCACAGCCACCACAGGGACCACAAGCACACGAGGAGGGTGAGATTGAGGGTGGTGGTGAGGAAGAGCCAGTGCATGATGAGCCGGCAGCTGAGGTGGAGCCGCCGGTGCATGAGCCCGTCGATGTGGGCGAGATGGACATGGCCAGGGTGTTTGAGGAAATGACCAGACGACTCATGCTGACTGCAGTGGATGACACTGAGGCTACACACGACGGCAATGAGATGCCGTTCAAAAGGTGAGCTGGGCGAGAAAAGCTCTTACATGGCTTGTGTGGACCAATGAACGCCGTGTGCGTGTGTCGGCCAGTGCGTGGCGATTGTCATGCCGGGCTGTGATGGAGCAGCTGTGCGCGGATACCCCCGATGCTGCTACGATCCTCAACACACTCGAAGACGACACACAAGCTGACGACACACAGCAGGTAGCACACTTATTCCTGTCTCATCTTCAATCTCTGCCTGTCTTTGTGATGGCGGGCAGGGCGTTGTCGACTCCATCACAAACCGCGCAGCGGAGGCAAGAGGCAAGGCCACCCTGCGAGCGGCAGTCCAGCACATCATAGGCGATGCCGCCACATTCCAACAGGTAGGTAGCACACCAATGACAGAGAGACAACTGGCGTGTCCTCGTGTCTGCAGGGCATGTCGTCGATAGAGAAGTTTGTGGAGGACTTCTATCTGCTGTCTCTCCGCTTCACACCCACCGCACCCATACACCCATACCTCTCAGCCACACACAGCAACGCAGACGGCATCGTCGGCACCCCTTCGGGAGTGAGTGGTGAGAATGGGGGTGCGGTGGATATGGTGAAGGACCCTGCTGTGTCGCTTGCCAAGTGTGCCGGTCAGAAAATAATGTGGAAAGAAAGAAAGAAAGTGAGTCTGCCTTTATGCTAAATGAACGGATGCAGGCATGTATGCGGGAGTGGAGTGTGTGAGGGAGTGCCATGGCAAAGGTGCGCTGGCACCATACGCGAGACACACGCATGAATGGATGGATGGATTGGTTGGCCACGTATTCCTTTGCTCTCTCAGACGTGGCGGATGTGCCCACACGCAGACGACTGAGGGATATGCAAAGCGTGAGCAACGAAGCTGCGTTAATGCCTCTGTCTATCTGTCTGTCTGTCTGTCTGTCTGCAGGAGTACATGTGCATCATGCGTGTCATGGAGCATCACCTGACCACCACAGAGATCGCCTTCGTCACCAACACCGCCAAGCACAACACAGGCGACGCAAAAACCATCAACACGGAAACGTAACACAGAAAGACAGAAAAGAAGTCTAGAAGCGTGCAAAATCCTGTCCTCTGCCTTTGTCAGCATCTGCAGCATAGTTGAACAATTGGAGTCGATCATCGAGCAGCTGTTTGCCCCCGACACCCATCACCTGATCAGCGCTCTCTCTGCTGACACGGCGATCGCTGAACATGATGGCGGATGGGCCAGAGTCATCAGTGCCGTGGCGGGCGGCATGGCCGTGGAGGGCGAAAAGGGAGGAGGAGAAAACAACAACAACACAGGAGACACAGACGTCACGCTGGGCAAAGTGATCACTGACGAAACGTCCATTCAAGTGAGATGGAGAGGGACGGGAGCACACAGATGGCTGGATGAATGTGTGTGTCGTGCCTTTGTTCTCCTCACAGTCGATGGCAGACGGCCTCCCTTCTTCGCGTGGCACAGTGGCTGATTTCTCCCTCTGGTACATGCGCACCCTCGCACACAGCAGGGGCATCGACGACAGCCAAGTCATGGCGGCGAACGATGCACTCGCCAAACACGCATCTGCCACGCGAATATGGGTGGGTACATGAGCTGCTCCAGCCACCCTTGATGGATGGATGGATTGGTTCATCAGGTGGCGTCGCACATTCGTGCCGACGTCCTGGGCGAGATACTCAGAAGGAACGCCAACACAGAAACGGTGCAGAAAGGAACAGGAATCATGTGTCCATGTGGATCTCCTTGGCCCTCGACAGATAAGGCGTGCGGCCATGAAGAGGGCCTCCTTGCGGTGGCTGGATCGGTTTGCCAATACGCAGATATTCGAAGCCACTGTGAGACACACACAGACACAGAGAGAGGCAAATGACAGTGAGTGTGCATGGGGATGGATGTGTGTGTGTGTGTGTGTGTGTGTGTGCACAGCGATGGTCGATCGCCGAGTATCGCTGCGCGGCCGTCGACACGCAGCTGACATTCATCCAGCCCCTCAGCGCACTCACATTCAACGAGATCGAACAAGTGAGTCAGTCGGACTGTCCGCCCACTCATCCACTTGTCCACATCCATCTGCACGTACATAGGACGAGTTGTCGAGGCGTGAGCAGGTCCTCACAGACGAGCTCGAGTCGCTCACCAAAAAGGCTGGCGACCTCACCGATCCAAACGGACACCGGCAGCGGGCATACAGGAGCGAAGAGGAGGACGGTCTGCGGGAGGGCGTCGCGCTGTGGCAGTCGCTCAAATTCCCATACGTACGTGCGGCGTCAGGACACGAGACACACGTGTGTGTTGGGCCTCAACCGATGTGCGCAGGACGGTTGCCCTGTGGACGTGCTGGCGATGCAGCTGAGGGGCTGGCAGCCCATCGACACACGAGACCGGCCCTTGCAGCAGCACATGATTGGCATACCCACTGCAGTGATGCTCACCGATAACATGCGGTCAGTCAAAGGGATACACATGTCGAAAGCAGTGAGTGTGTGTGGTTTGTCTGGTGTGTGTGTGTGTGTGTGTGCAGGAAAATGGCTGAGGTGTGTGGGGGGCTGAGTGCGGTCAGATGGCTGAAGACGGCTCTCCTTCCACCAGCAGCACAAGACACTGCCCCGTGATCGATGATATGTCACTCGATGTGTGTGTGTGTTGGGGTAAAAACATATGTGTCGCCATGCTTCTTGCGTGCAGTACGTATCTCTCTTTGGCGGGATGTATACGTGTGTACGTCTCTACATGTATCCGTCCAGCCAGCCAGTCATTCATTCATTCAACAAATGAAACATGGGCAATTTAGGCGAGATCACAACCGAAAGGCCACCCGCTGTCCATCCATCCATCCATCCATCTCGTTTGTTTATCGACAGGCCACTGGCGTCACGTCAACGCACCCAGACAGACAGACAGACAGACAGACAGAGGCAAGCAGAAGGAGGCGATCGACCCATCCATCCGTCTTCGTCGGCTGCACCTCGGCAGCCACTGATGAGTGCCATCAGTAAGTTCCGCTGCGAAGCTTTCGACACCCCTACGGCACACTGAGGGCAGGTAAGCATCAGCAAGAGGGCAGACAACCTCTCTACCCATCATGGACGCACTGTGAATCTTCCTTCGTTCCTGCCTGCCTCGTCGGGTCATCCGGTCCGCCGCCAAGAATCAAATCATGACACTCCACCGCCTTGCCGTGTCAGACTGGACCAAGAGAGACAAGACAGGCAGGCGTCTGCGTTTGCGTGTGCAATGAGACAGAGACGCAATCGATCGCAGATGGCACCACTGATAGGAGAGAGACGGACCCTAAGGCAGCTGAGCTAGACCAGACAGACAGACCGGTGAGTGAGTTGAAACTTGTAAGTATCGACAGGGGGCTGTAAGGGTATCCACAGGGATAAAGCCGGGACCACACGCACGTGCTAGTCAGACCATATTGTACAGTAATGCATCACAGACACCACGCAGGCACGCAGGCACGCAGGCACGCAGACAGCTAATTCATCCATCCATCCATCCATCTATCCACTGTCTGTCTGTCTGTCTCTCTGTCTGTCTGTGTGCGGGAAAACGGCAGACAGAGATGTTCGCCGATCTGTCCATCATGCAGGCAGACAGACACGCATTCAGCCCAGTCACCCCCTTTAAGCAAAAATGTTGCCGTGGGAGGCAGCCACACACACACACACACACGGGGACAAAGAGAGCGATAACACTCATCCATCCATCCATCCCTCCGAAAAGAAAGCAGAAGTCGACGGGCTACGACGCGACGACGGGAAGCTACCATCTCATTTGTCTATCCATCCGGGCGATCCATCTGTCTGTCTGTCTGTCTAGAGTTCGTCGTGTGCCTCGTAGTCCTCCTCGCCGGTGGGGCCGCCCGCGCCGCCCGCGGCGCCGTAGACGGCCGAGATGATGGGGTTGCAGATCTCCTCGACCTCCTTGTGCTTGGCCTTGATCTCCTCGGCGTCCTCCTCAGGATGCTCCTGCATCCACTCCTCGCCGTCCTTGACCTGAGTCATCACACACACACACACACACACACAGAGAGAGAGAGAGAGAGAGGGACGGTGACTCGGGGTGTGAGGGAGGGAGAGAGGGGGGGAGTGGTACCTACCGCGTCGAGAATTTGTTGTCTCTGGTCTTCGTCGAGTTTGTTAGCGAGTTTGTCTTTGTCCTCGACGGACTGCTTCATGCTGTGGAGGTAGTTGTCGAACGAGTTTTTGGCGTCGACGCGCTCACGCACCTTCTTGTCCTCCTCGGCGTAGTCCTCCGCCTCTCTGAGTGAGAAGGTGTCAGTCACATGTGTGTGTCGTGTGTGTCGGGTGGGGTGGCTGGATCACTTGATCATCTTTTTGATGTCTTCTTCGCTGAGCCGTCCCTTGTCGTTGGTGATGGTGATCTTCTCTGACTTGCCGGTGCCCTTGTCCTCGGCCGACACGTTCAAGATACCGTTGCTGTCGATCTCAAACGTCACCTGGTCGGCCAACACACACACGCACACACACACACACACACACGTGTACGCGTCAGCTGACACGAGGTTTCTGCTGACGGACCTCACCTCGATCTGTGGGACGCCCCGTGGTGCTGGCGGGATGCCGGAAAGCTCGAACTTGCCCAGCAGGTGGTTGTCCTTTGTCATCGGACGCTCTCCCTCAAACACCTGCAGCCAACACACATATACACACACACATCCATCCATCCATCCACCGGTGCTGCCCTGCCCCTGTGTGCGCGAGGTGTGTATGTGTGTATGGTTGCTTGCTTGCCTGTATCATGACAGCGGGTTGGTTGTCCTGGTAAGTCGAGAAGACTTGTGACTTCTTGGTGGGGATGACGGTGTTGCGGTTGATGAGCTTGGTCATGACACCGCCCACCGTCTCGATCCCCAAAGTCAGGGGCGTCGCGTCCAGCACCACCAGCCCCTCGCCGCCCTCACCGGACAGAATACCTAGTAGGCACCACACAACACACACAAAGGTGGGCGGGGCGTGTGGTAGGGGGATGGAGGGAGGGGTGCCTGTGCAGTTAGTTACCGGCTTGGACAGCCGCGCCGTACGCGACGGCCTCATCGGGGTTGATGCCCCGGTTGGGCTCCTTGCCATTGAAGAAATCCTTGATCAACTGCTGGATCTTCGGAATACGCGTGGAACCGCCAACCAACACGATCTCATCAATCTGCACCCACAGACGCACGGGTACGAATGAGACACACAAACGTCGGCCGGCATCCTTGGGGCGTGTGTTGATGGGGATGGGGATGGGGATGGGTGGGTACGCACCTGTGTCTTCTTGAAGCCAGCGTCATCGAGGACATTCTTGACGGGCTTGAGGGTCTTCTGGAAGAGGTCGTTGTTGAGCTCCTCAAACCTCGCCCTGGTAAGTGTCTCCGAGAAGTCGACGCCCTCGACAAGGCTCTCGATCTCGATCCGCGCCTGGTGCGTTGAGCTGAGAGCGCGCTTGCCCTTCTCGACCTCTCGGCGGAGCTTCTGCAGTGCCCTCTTGTCCTTGCTGATGTCCTTGTCGTACTTCTTCTTGATTATTTTGATGAAGTGGTCCATCACACGCTGGTCGAAATCCTCGCCACCCAAGTGGGTGTCACCTGAATGAACCATACCACACACACAAAGACAGAGGGAGCGAGTTAGGGGTGTCATGGCGGCGGCTTGTTGTTGTGTTGGCGCCACTCACACTCACTCACCACTGGTGGCGACGACTTCGAAGACGCCGTTGTCGATGGTGAGGAGTGAGACGTCGAATGTGCCGCCGCCGAGGTCGTAGACGAGGATGTTCTTCTCCTGCTTCTTGTCGATGCCGTAGGCAATGGCCGCCGCAGTGGGCTCGTTGATGATGCGGATCACATTCAGGCCACTGATGGTCCCCGCATCCTTGGTCGCCTGACGCTGCGCGTCGTTGAAATACGCTGCACACACACACACACACATATGGGGGGGGCGGCGGGGGGAGGGGGACGGGGAGGTATCGCACCAGGGACGGTGATGACGGCGTTCTTGACGTCTTTGCCGAGGTACGCCTCCGCGACCTCCTTCATCTTGACGAGGACCATGGCGGAGATCTCCTCCGGCGCGAACGATTTGGTCTCGCCCTTGACCTGCACCTCGATGAAGGGCTTGCCCTCCTTCTCGGCAAGAATGAACGGCAGCAGCTTCTTGTCACGCTGCACCTCCGTGTCCTTGTACTTGCGACCGATCAGGCGCTTCACGTCAAACAGGGTCTGAGACGGGTTCACCTGCACACACAAAACACAAAACACACACACGTGGTGCGGTGCAGAGGGCGTATGTGGGTGTATATGGCGTGGCTGACCGTGGCCTGGTTCTTGGCAGCCTCGCCGATGAGCCGTTCGTCTTCGGTGAAGGCGACATAGGAGGGCGTGATGCGGTTGCCCTGGTCGTTGGGGATGATCTCCACGCGGCCGTTCTTGTAGATGCCCACACACGAGTAGGTCGTACCCAGGTCGATACCCACCACAGGACCCTCAACTGCAATCAAACACACACAACACACACACAGCGCAGAAACAGGAGCCGTCCACGTGTGTCGGCACCCGAACAGCCTGCTGCAGGTCCCCGCCTGTCTCGCTCGTCGTGTGTGCAACCATCTGTCAGCCTTTCGTTGCTCACTTTTCTTCTCCTCCTCGGCGGCCAGAGCTGATGTGGCGATGGCGGCCACCAGGACCGCAGCGATGATGAGCGACCTCATGATGCTCAAAGATGCCCACAGATACGCAAAGATGCACAGCTACCCCTGCACAGCACCGCTGATTCGTACCGATAGCCAAAGACTACACGTGTGAATCGGAGAGAGAGGCTGCGTTGGTGATGCCATCCCCACCACGTCGGGATAGATTCGATCCCCGCCACGTCACGACCGCGGCCAAACCCTACACTCCAAACCCTACTAGTAGAACCGTGCATATTAGGTTTAAAACCCAAACCAGTTGCCCAAACCCAACCCTAATGGCTGAGGATACAATGTTTTTGGCGGCTGGTCCATCCAGCCAGCCAGCCAGTCATTCAACAAATGAAGCGATGGGCAATTAAGGCGAACAACCGAAAGACCTCGGCAAGATTAATATTTCTCGACGAGAGACAAGGCCTCCCCTTTCTTGTTTTCTTCCCCCAAAAGATCGATGTCCGGCCCATCTCAACCCCTCCCGCCTCCTGTTGATCGCTTTATCCTGGTTGCTAAAGATGGATTAATATTTCCCCGAGGGTTCCCCCTATGGACGTTCGAATGGCTGCGCTGCCGGGTATGTGTTCAAGATCTCTCAGTCCATTCTTTACTCCCCGCTGCACGTACGTGCCGCCGCCGGCGTACCCTCCAGGGCCGCGCGGCTTCCCTCAGACCTGCCGCCACGGCCGCAGCACCGTCTGCACGGCCTCGCTTCACCAGGTACATAGAATGTTGCATTGTGTGGGCGTTTGTGCTGACAGGACGTGTACGTGGGCCTCCCATCATCGGCAATGCGGCGGTAGGAGAGCTCACGGAGAGGACTATAAGAGTGGGCACACGTGGCTGTGTGCGTGTGTGGCGTGACGTGTACAGTCGACCACCCTGGCCTCCGGCGGACAGGCGAGGTGAACAGATGCACACGAGCGAAGGGAGTCAAACCTCACGTGTACTGTTGTCCGATGAATTTATTCATGCAGCAGCCGGCCGCTCAGCCCGCGCCACACACACCACAGCCACAGCCACAGACACAAGGTCAGCTCAGCTGCAAAGAAAGAGATAGTTCGGATGTATGTCGATATGATATGCAGTCAGTGTGCTTTTCGTGTTTGCAGACCGCGGCAGGCCGACGCCGGGGTGCGAACGAAGGAGACCTGGCAGCACATGGATCGGTAAGAAGCAGCATTCCCCCCCTCATTTATCCCGTCGGCCTTGGTGAAGCATCAGGTCATGGACATCACCGACCTGATTCGGTTTACCGGCTCCTCCGGGCTCTGCGTGGTGGAGAGAATCATCCACGAGTGCATCAAGAACGACAATGAGACCAAGGTGCTGAGTGTCAAGTGCCACCAGCCGGGTAAGCACGACAGACGACATTTGAAGGCTGCCAGGTGCATGATCCACCGACACCCATTCTCTCCTCCTGTGTCGTGTGCAGGGCGGTCCGGCAACCTGGTGGCGCTCTGGGAGATCATGACCAGCACTAATGCGGACTGGACGCCATCGCTGGCCTTCCCCCGACTCTTGCCAAGGCTGCAGATAAAATGGGTCGGACATGAGAGGGGTGCAGGGAGGAATGACGGTTGCGTGGATGTTTTGTGTGTGTGTGTGTGTGTGTGTACGCATGTCTATGGGCAGTCATGGCCCCCCTTAAAATGACCGACACACCTGCACACCTTTCGTCTCGTGTCGCTTCATATGCTCTTATTCTTTCAGGCTGCAGGAGCGCCTGGAGACGGCGGAGGAGATGGCGTTGCAGGCGGCAGCGGCACGGCAGGAGGAGAGAAGAGGCCGAGCGCTGCATCATCTGCTGCCAGGGCGACGGAGACCCAGATTCACCCCTGCGTGAGGCCACAAACTAACAAACGTGTAACAGACAAACCAATACCGGCTTCGTGATGTCCGTGTGTGCAGGGCCACTTTGGCCTCTGCAGCCCCTGCTACCTGCGGCTGCTGGACCACGCAACGGAGACCCAGCAGCCGCCGAAATGCCCCATCTGCCGCAGCCGCATTGCATTCCGCACTGTCGGGAGCCTGCCTTGCTCCCCGATATCATGTGCTGGCGTGTATGTGGGTTGTGTCATGGATGTTGTGTGAGTCTTGCAGGGCACGCACACGCCCACTGCCACACCAGCAACATCTTCAAGCGAATGTTCCGGCCGCACGTCGACTGAGGCGTCGGATGCGGACGAGGACGCCATCAACCACATCGCCCACATTGGGTACGACCCCCAGTACGAGTCGTGACCCCCATCGCCAAGGGAATTCTCAAGGGAGACTTCAAAGAGTCAGTGAGGAGGGACGATCGAGCATGGGCACACACACACACACCTACCTACACCTGTAGTGTCCGTGATGTGCAGGTGACGAGATATCGGTTGCGGTCAAGAACGACCCAATCGGCCTCTCTCTCTGTAGCCGGCCAGCTGTTTTAAGTGTGTGTGTGTGTGTGTTGGTTGATACCTGGGCTACCGCATCGACACACACACACACACACACACACGGGCAGCCACTCTCTTTCTCTCTTTCTCTCTGTCTTGCGCTCTCCGTTTGAGGAGGGATTGTGTTGTGTTGTGGGTGGGGGGGGTGCGTGGGTGAGTCTGGTCTTTTGTTATGCGTGCAGCGGAGACATGCACGCAGTAACACCTATCAGTGGATGTATGAGGTGTTTTCGGGTGGAAGGAAGAGAGAATGAAACGAACGATCGCTGTCTACGTTTTATATCTGTCTGACAGGTTTGCACCTTCCCCATGCATGAATACTTTCCCTCTGCCCGTGTCTCAGGAACAGCCAACACACGCAATACTACAGAACAAGCACATACGGCCCACCCGCCCGCCAGCCTACGGCAGCTTCCCAACACAGAGAACTCACAGCCACCAAACAATCACTCACGAGCAGAAAACACAGTGGCGCCATAGCCCACCCACAGGAGCTGCTATGACACACACAGGTGTGTCTCTGCTCGTCCATGTCTAGTTGCAAATCCACTGGAGCCACAGACAGACAGACAGACAGCCCTTCCACTGCGGAAGACACATCACGCCGCCACCGCCATAACGGTCAGTCAGTCAGTCAGTCAGTCAGTCAACTCTACTCTCTCTCTCTCCTCAGCTTGCCTGCGCCGCCGTGCCATGCACACAGCCACCAAGCCATCGGCAGACAACATGGACATGCACATCCGGGGGGCAGACAGCGGACAGCGTTTCAAAAACCAAAGAAAAAGCACTCACTATCTATCTATCACAGGTGGGAGAGCAGATCTTCATGCGTTCAGCCAGCGAACGGCGACGACAATCGGGACAAGCGCCCCAAACATCGTCAGCGACGGGCAACAAGATCTCTCACTCCATGTCCAAATGTCTGTCCATTCTTTACTTAAGCTTTTGCAGGGCGTCCGCTGCCGCACCTGCCGCCGCGCCAATAACATGGGCCAGCGCACCAAGACCCAAGCAAAGGCCACCAAAACCCACAGCGGCTCCATCCGCTCCACCGCTTCAAGGGTCTTGGTCAGCTTGGCCTCGATGGCCGCCTCCTTCTGCAGGGCATCCGCCAGTGCCTTGTTGCTCTCCACCAGCTGTGCCTGGAGCAGACCCATCTTGGTCTGCATGACCGTGTTGCTGTCCTGCAGCAGCTGGATGGTCGCTACGTGCTTCTCATCTCGCGAATCCGCCTGCAGCCTCTCGACAGCCGCCAGTCGCCTCTCGATGACAGCTTGCCACCTCTCCTGATTGAGTTCCCTCTCGGCATTGAGGAGCTGGTCAGTAGTCTCATCAAGCGACAACACGGCGGGAGCTGAGGACGACATCGACATCCATGCAAGCCAACAACCCCAAACCCGGCCTCAGTCAGTGAGCAGTTTTCTCTGTTGCCGCCCTGTGCGGGTACCTTGTGCGGATGAAGCTGTGGCCTCTCTGTCCATCGCGCAGTCACCGCGAGCGAGATGGATGGCAGATCTGCGTGGGAACCCACCGAAACAACAACGGACATGACGACGATTGACTGACTGCTGTCGGTTGGTGTGGTGTGGATACTCACCCTCCCTTTGTCACAGCCTTTGGTTGGTTGGTTGGTTATTGACAAAGGGTGTTCGGTGAAACCGCTGCTGATTGGCGCTCGGTCGAACGCAAAGGACATGGCGACGAGGAGCTGGCGCTCATCTCCCTGTGATGCTGGGTACGTGAATTTGCCAAGAACAACGGAAATTGGTCGTCAATCGATGGTCATCGGTGGTGACAAAGCTGACACACATACGGTCCACAGCTGACACACATACGGTCCACAGCCACAGCAGGCACGCTGGCCCAGTTCATCGAGGTGCTCGTTCAATCAATGTCTTTGCAGGCACGCAACAGTCACAACACAGTCACAACACAGCTGCAGTGGCCATGCCATTCCTCTCTGAGTCAATCAATGCCTCAGTATCAGCTGCAGGTCGATTCTCAGCAGAATGGCGGCCGGCAGATCACACGCTTCACAGCTGCTGCCATCCCATGCAAAGCACCGAACACACAGACACAGACAGACAGACAGACAGACAGACAGAGGATGTCTTGCCGCAGCCGAGGTGAGTGAGGCGCTCACCGTGATGTGCAGACGAGCATGAGGTTGGGCGCCATGAACTCATCCAACAGACCCGCAAACACAGCCAGCAGGTCACGTGTCAGCTGACACGCACAAACAACACAACAGCAGCCGATGGCGTCTCTCTCTCTATCCATGCACGTGGACGCCTGTGTGCCCGTTGTGTTGTGCTCACCCTGTTGTGTGTGTGTTTGGTGCCGAATATCTCCTCTATGTCGTCGATGAAGAGCACTGAGGGATGGCTGGCGTAGGCCAACTCGAACCGCTCACGAAGCAACGACTGCACACACACACACATGGACACACAGACATTTTGTGTGCCACTTGCCCGGCCACGTACATGCCCCTCCACCGACTTACCTGTGAGAGGCCCACGATGCCGTGGACTGTGTTGGGGATGGTCAAGGAAAAGACACTCACTCCGCCGAGAGATGACAGCGCCCTGCACACGCCCATCCATCCATCAATTGTCGCTTCATTTCTCCCACATGAGCGAGCACCTTCCCAGCGTCGATTTGCCGCTCCCTGAGGGCCCCAGCAGCAGCACCGATGAGCACTCAGACTCACCTGCACAAACCAAAAAGGGGAGTGCAGATCCACACCTAACAAGTGTGACGGCTAGCGTGAGTGCAGCTGGCGTACTTGGTGCGGCTTCGGCGTCCTCATATCGCTCTGCACGCTCAAACAGCCGCCGCAATCGCTCACACGGCCCCTGAAAAAGAAACACACCGCCACCAACAGGACGACCACTTAGAAGACAATCTGTTCGTGTGTGTGTTTTATGTGTGTGTCGGGTCTCATTCATCTCGCTGACCTGAAGGTGCGGCCTCAGTGCGTCGGGCGATATCACATAAGGCTGATTGGCGCCTTTGGCCAGCACACTCAGTGCATTCGACACGACGCCGGGCTCTCCGGATGACGGCGCACTGGCAATCTCACTGCACAAGCGGTACACACCTGCACACACGTGTGCAGTGCACATATTTAGTCGACATGATGTGTGTGGGTCACTCGGCCACTCCCTCACTGACTGACCTGTCCAGCTGCGGCCGGCCGTCCGCTGTGCCGCCTCTCTGGTCAGCTGCTCATCCTCCATTCCCCACCGGGCCAACAGATGCCTGCAGAAACGAACACAGAGGAGGGAGAGAGCATCATGTTGACATACACACACAGTCAGTGGCTGTGTGTGCGCGTGCGCCATGCCATTCATCCGGCTCTCGTACCTGATCCACTGCATCCTCTGTCTGAATGAGGGAGGCTCCAAGGGAAGCACCACATCAAACATATCACCTGCACAGCCACAAGCAGCATCTGACGATGGTGCATAGGATTGCATCCTCGCTGACACCACAGCGTGCCGCACGCACCTATTGCCCTGCTGGGCCTGTCCCTCAGGAGCGCGACAACAAGACACCCACCGACCTCCCTCATCAGCCGCAGAGCACACCTCATGTCGTGGAACATCTGCAGCGACTCGTCGCCCTCAGAAATGAGCGCATCTATTCCACTAACACCCTCCGCAGCACCAGGTGTGTGCTGCTGTGGCTCATCGATGTCAGCCTCATGGTCATCATCTGACAGATCTGGGCTGTCGGGTGAACCGACGTGTGTGTGGGCGACATCGTCAGTGACACCACTGGCCTGCAATCGCGGGAGAAATGAAGAGTGTGTGTGTGTGTGTCTGTGTGTGTGCTGATGACCATAGGGAGGCAGTCCAGGTGAGAAATGACAATCAGTCTGCGGACTGCAGATGAGCTGTATGGAGCACCAAGAATGGCCTGCACACACACGCAAGACAGACGCCCATGACACTCAGCACTCACTCGTCCATCGCTGTGTGTGCATCCCGTCCGCTGCTTACCGCGTAGCGGCGGCGAAGGGCCTCAGCGGGGCCAAAACCTGACACACATCAGTGAGTGAATGAACGAGTGAGGCAGTCGCACACGCGCGACAAACAGGCGCCCCCATTGTTGCCAATTTTTGCGGCTGACCTCTGCAAATGGCAGCGGCGTCAATCATATGCAGCTCGAACACACCACGACCACCGGCAGCAGACTGCTCGTGCAGCCTGTCGAGATACGCCGCCAGCCAATCCACACACAGAGCACCATTCTCACCTGCACCAAGGAGAAGCCAGACAGACAGACCATCCATTCATCTGATCTGCCGCGCCCGCGTGTGATCTGTCACCGCCCACCTTCGGTAGCACAGTGAATGGCGAGGGCAGCCACAGAGATCTCCATCTGGCCGTGCCTTTCCTCCTCACGAGCGCCCTGCGTGCAGCACATGAGTCGCCTGTTGATGAGTCTTTGGGTCAGATCCAGGCTGAACGGCAACCCAACGGACTCGCCGAAGGGCTCAACCATTAGCCCTGACGACGAAGGTGCGCAGATGCGAGCGAGAGAGGGAGAAGGGACGGCTGGGAGAAGGGAACAATTTGTGTAGAGGCTCGCGCCAGTGGAGGCACTGTGAAGACCTGTTGGGCGGACGAGTCCGCTTGTCCATCCCTCAGCCGCTTCTCGTTTGCAACTGATCCATCAACGGCCTTCAAGTTGCTGCCCGGCGGATCATCGCGGTACGTAGCGGCCTCTCGTCCGACGGTGAGTGGGAAGATGCGGCGATTGGATCACTCACAAGCACACCGATCTGTTTGCTGTCTGTGTGTCTGTGTGTGTCTTCAGGTCTGCCTTGTCGACGGGCGGACTGATTGGTTGAGTGTGTGTGGACAGCTGGCTGCCGACTCATGCCTTTGATAGGCAAGCACTGATTGATGCACACAACAAATGCACCAGGTGCCCGCCAATCTGTCTGTGTGTGTGTGTGGTCCATGGTGCAGCTGTCTGTCTGTGTGTTTGAGTGAATGAGAGCGATGTGGTCTGGTCGTCCCGACACCGACATGGCCGCTGCTGGCCCGGCGGACGGCGGCGATGGCGATGAAGGTACACTCAGCTCAGACAAATGCAGCACATCACACACGCAGCATCATTGGCAAAGGTCGTGTGTGTGTGTCTGTCCATTCCTCTGCAGGCCAACGCGGCGGCGGTGACGAGCGGCGGCCAGTGGATGTGGAGGAGCGCCAGGAGGGCCGTGCAAACGGTGGTGCGGTGAGCAATGTCGTCATGAGGCAGAGGAACAACGCCTCCATGACAGAGCCCTCTCAGATGCCATCGCCGGTAGGCCAACAAACACGAGCACCGCGACAGACAGACAGACACCTTCACCCACTCTCCCTTTCATATGTGTGTGTCATTGGCTGTCCCGCCGCGGCACACGGCAGGCCATCCATCTCACAGCCAGGGTGGCGGGTGGGCCACAAGCAGCAGCAGCATCAGCACCATCAGCAGTGGAGCAGGAATCCTCATCTAGCTATGCAGGTAGTCAATGGATGCACCACAGCCAGCCTGACACAGCACGTCATCATCGTCTGGGTCGTGTGTGTGTGTGGGTGTGTGTGTGTGTGAAGGTGTTGGTGTTGTAAAGCGTGCCGGCTCCCCTCTGGAGCATCAGGAGCACGAGAGGCCCAAGGGAGACAGGCAAAGGGACCAACCTGCCGCCAACCTGCCCAGTGCCCAGCAGCCACAGGTGATTGCATCCCTCCTCTGTCCTTACCACACTAAGACATGGCATGGCTGTGTTGTGAACTGTGTTGTGTATGGTGTGAACAGCGTCCCCCCGCTGCCAATCCTCCTGCTGCTAGTCTTGGTGTCCCTCCATCCACTGGTCCGACGCTGAGCGGCCATGGGCGTCGCCCACCGCAACCGCCCCGTCTCGGAGGGGGCGTCAGCAGTGGTGTTGGTGCTGAAGCTGGTGTTGCTGCCTCCGGTGGGCAGCAGGGCAGCGGGCAGGACCGACAGAACGGAGGTAGGTCAACAAATTACCCACCATCAACACACATACCACCCTCCCCTGTGGACGCTATGCCACAGGTCCGACGCTACCCCCTGGCTGGAAGAGCTTGGAGAAGGGGGTGATCGACGTCGACTTCCCTCGTAGCACCAGTGACGCCAGCATTCGGCTGTCCAAGGCCATCATTCGCCGCACCATCACTGGCGCACAGCATCTGACGGGCATCATCCACCAGCAGGGATCGGACCCCGACCTGAGGGCGGGGCTGTGGGTGGCGGGCACCACATCATGCTGGACCTATCCGCTCCTGTCGCTGTGCATCGACAACCTCACCAACAACAGCGTGCCGTCCATATGGGCAGCCGACGTCAATGGTGGTTACACTCCCGTCGCCTTGCCTTTGTGGGAGACCCCCGGCCTCCAGTTTGCCGTCATGAAGGCCCTCATCGAAAGCGGCGCCGACATCAATGCGGGCCATACGTGCTGGCCCATCCGGGTGGCCATCGCCTCATGCAATCGGCCCGCATTCGGCCTCTTGATGAGTCGGCCAGGTGCGCACCCATTCACAGCACTCACCACACCTAACACACAGCGTGATGTCTGTCTGTTCCAGGCATCCAGCTGCAGGGGCGTCAGGTGATGCGGCTGCCGAGCAGATCGCCGACGGACCAGCCGACTGCGGCTCACGAGGCCATCCTGCTGTCCTTCTACCGGCAGCTCATCCAGCGTCACCCCACACTCGCAGCCGAGACCGATGCGGACAAAGGCAGCAATTCGGTGCATTGGGCCGCCATGAAGCCTTCCGTCTGGTCCCAGCAGTTCATCGAGGACTACATCGACATGCTGGTGGCCAACGGGGCCGACATCACGGCTGTGGACAACTTTGGGCTGACGCCATTGCACCTCGCGGTCATCAGCGGCGCCCATTGTGTCGCTGCCTCTCTCTTCCGCCGCCTCACCCCTGCTGACATCAACAGAGGGAGACCGAATGACCCCACCTGCACACCCCTCACCGATGCTGCCCGATGGCTCGATGAGTCCACCCAGCGGCTGCGGGACGACAATGTGGGCGAGGAGACGAAGGACGAATCCAGAAGACAGATCCCCAACCTGCAGAAGACCATCCGCACACTCCTCCAGGCCGGTGCCGACATCGCCCTGATGCCCACGGCCACAGAGCGGCACCGCCGTCGCCGCCAGCTCGTGTTGGCGGAGCGCACGGCGCTGCCCAACGAGCTGCCCATTCCCGAGCCGCGCCCCGCCACCATCGAGGCGCCCTTCCAGCCCCCCACAGCCAAGCACAAAACGACTGAGCAGCCCTCGGCTGACCGTCTGCTGCTCTCTAACCCCAGCTGTGTGTCGACGGCCGACCAGACGCCCCGCGAGGAGCCGCTGCCGGGCCCATCGGCAGGCAGCAAATTGGGCAGAGGGAGGGGGCTGGGCCTCCCGGCTGCTGCACCATCCCTGTCGTCTCGGGCGGCCCCTTCGGCTACCCCTCTGCCGTCAGCTGAGGAGCTGCACAAGTCGGCCATGCGGCGACCGTTTGTGTCGTCGAGTCCCTCTCACCCGCCCCCACGCCCTTCGCGCCTCCCACCTGCACACAGACCGGCGAGCGGTGCCGATGAGTCATTCCCGCATCCAGCGCATGAGCCACAGCATCCGTAAGCAGACAGACACAGAGAAGGGGATGGATTGGTTGGGCACAGTGAATGGTGTTGGTGTGTGTTGTCGTTTTATTTCGTGTCAGTGACGGCTCGTTTCTCTCGTCGTCGAGTGGGCATCGTCCGTCAGGACATCGGGGCCCTCTGGCACTCGTCAAGTGTCCCAGGCAAGGAACAGACAGGCCGACATCAGGACACCTCACGCACACATCGGTGGGGGGTCGCTTATGGTGCGTGCGTCTTCTCAGGTCGTTTGGGGCTTCGTTAAGCCACGATGACGCCCGTCAGTCGCCATTCTACGGGCCCAGGTAGCGCACACGCTCAATCAACACACGCGGCACAGCCGCCATCGAATTGCCACGTCTGTTCTGTGGTGTGTCAGATCCGGGTTTCACGCCTGTACGTCCTCCAGTAGCTACGACCACTCCAGTGCACCACCAGCTCCAGCAGCAGCTGCATTTGCAACACCATCAGCACCATACGAAGAGCCACTAGGGTAGGCAGGCACACCCACACACCGGCGATGGGCTGCTCGTCACGTTATTGGCTTGCGACGCCGCGTGTGCTACCAGGTCATCGCACCACCATGAGGGCGGACAGGGCGTCTCGGTGTCGGTACACCATGGTGCTGCTGCTCCTGCTAATGCTCTAAATGATAGGTGGGTGTCGATTGGTTGTCTCACTATCAGTGTCCACCTGTGTGTGTGTGTGTGTGTGTGTGTGTGTGCAGGATGGCCGGCTCGTCGCGGGAGGCTGAGCTGCAGCGCGAGAACGAGGAGCTCAAGAGAAGGTACACGCATCCCATAACACAGCACATAAGAACGAAACGCAACGGTCTCGTCGGTCGGTCAGGCTTGCCGAGCTCACCATCGCCGCGCAGCAGCACCAGCCGTCATCGTCCAGCAGCTCCAGTGCCCCTCTCCCGCTACAGCCTTCCCCCAGCAGCAGCAGCCCCCGGGTGCGGCCCAGCCAGAGGGAGATGGGCGTGAGTGTGCCATCTGCCTCGACGCGCCCCCATCGGTCATGTACATGCCCTGCAGACACCTGCGGCTGTGTCGCCAGTGCTATGACCACCGCTGCAGCAAGTGGCGGCGGGACCTCCACCAGGTGCGGGCCGAGAATGCGCGGCGGCGTCAGGAGAACGAGCGCATCAAGAGACAGAACGAGGGCCGCAGGAAGGAGAAGAGGATACCGTTGGTGGAGCTGCTAGACGACCCGGAGTACCTGTGTGAGCACTGCAAAAAGAGGGTGGAGTTCGCCGGGTCGCGCGATGAGGTGCGGCAGTGGGCCGATCAGCCCATCATGTGACCTTCCTACCATCCTGCCAACAGACATCGATGTGGGAGAGGGCGGGAGGGAGGGAGGCAGTGTAGCGGACAGGGGGAGGGAGAGAGGGGAGGGAGAGAGACAGCTTTTTGACTGAGTGGCTCTTCCATGCCATGAGACCGATGCTATCCAGTGAGTGTAGGTCACCACTGCGGACACAGAGATCGATGAGGGGGTGTCCTCAACTGTCAAGCAGACAGAACGGTGAGACAGACAGACAGACACACAGACAGCCAAATGGGTTTTTCCTCTGCCCGTCTGCTGGCGTGTCATTGAGTGCCTCGAGTTCGTGTATGAGCAGAGACTGGTTGTTCGGTGTGTGCCGCTTTCTTGACTGCCTGCCGTCCATGACAGAGTCTGGTGATGCGGGGCGTAACTGGTGTGTATGTCCAGGTAAAGACCGTTTTTGATGTGTGGAATGGCTGATGAATACCGGGTGCGAAGTGATGACTACTCTGTATGACATTTAGTTCCATATGGTGGGTCGTGACAGTTTGACACACACAATCAGGGAGCCAAGTGAGCGGGTCATTCATCAAGAGCAATTCATCCAAAGTGAGCAGGGCGCACTGCGGCCGAATGCTTCACTCCTGACGCGGCCTCTGAGCCCATGAGAAGGGCTCCTTCCCTCTCCTTTCTCGACCTGCGAGCTGATCGATGCGAGCCTGAGAGATGGCAGCAGGACACGATTTTGTTTTCCCTCGATACGATGAGGCCCTGCTGACCCATAAGCGGGGCGGATCCATCGTTATCGAGTGTGCACGGCCCTGCTGCGCAACAGATCATCGCGGCACGTAGCGGCCTCTCGTCCGACGGTGAGTGGGAAGATGCGGCGATTGGATCACTCATAAGCACACCGATGAGCTGACAGTGTTTGCTGTCTGTGTGTCTGTGTGTGTCGGTGGTCTTCAGGTCTGCCTTGTCGACGGGCTGACTGATTGGTTGAGTGTGTGTGTGCGGCTGGCCGTCGACTCATACGTTTGATAGGCAAGCACTGGTTGATGCACACAACAAATGCATCAGATGCCTGCAGGCCCATCTGTCTGTGTGTGGTCCGTGGTGCAGCTGTCTGTCTGAGTGAGGGAGAGTGATGTCTTGTCGTCCCGACACCGACATGGCCTCCCCTGCTATGGCGGACGGTGGCGATGGCGATGAAGGTACACTCAGCTCAGACAAATGCAGCACAGCACACACACAGCACCGTCGTGTTTGTGGATGTGTGCAGATGGGGAGTGCGCAGGTCCTGAGGAGGGCGGTGGTGCGGTGACCAATGTCGTCATGAGGCAGAGGAGCAACGCCTCCACGACAGAGCCCTCTCAGATGCCATCGCCGGTAGGCCAACAAACAAGAGCACCGCGACGGACAGACAGACACCTTCACCCACTCTCCCTTTCGTATGTGTGTGTCATTGGCTGTCCCGCCGCGGCACACGGCAGGCCATCCATCTCACGGCCAGGGTGGCGGGTGGGCCACAAGCAGCAGCAGCATCGGCAGCAGGGGAGCAGGAACCCTCATCTAGCTGTGCAGGTAGTCAATGAAGGCACAACAGCCAGCCTGACGCAGGACGCCATCATGGTCTGGGGCGTGTGTGTGTGTGTGTGTGTGAAGGTGTAGGTGTTGTGAAGCGTGCCGGCTCTCCTCTGGAGCATCGGGAGCCTAAGAGGGCCAAGGGAGACGGCCAGACACACCAACCTGCCGCCAACCTGCCCAATGGCCAACAGTCACAGGTGATTGCATGCCTCCTCTGCCCCTTACTCAGCACCACACTAAGAGATGGCATGGCTGTGTTGTGTTGTGTATGGTATGTGCAGCGTCCCCCCGCTCCCCATCCTGCTGCTGCTGGTGTTGGCGGCCATGCCCATCGCCCACCGCCACCGCCCCGTGTCGGAAAGGGCGTCAGCAGCAGTGCTGCTGGGGATCTCGGTGTTGGTGCTGGTGTCGGTGCCTCTGGTGGGCAGGGCAGCCGGCAGGTTCGACAGGATAGAGGTCGGTCAACAAGTCACCCACCACCAACACACATATACCACCCTCCCCTATGGACGCTGTGCCACAGGTCCGTCGCTACCACCTGGCTGGAAGAGCTACGGGAACGGCGTCGACGTCCGCCTCCCTCTTGGCACCAGCGACGCCAGCAGACGGCTGTCCAAGGCCATCATCCGCCGCACCGTCACTCACCCACAGCAGGTGACGGACATGATCCAGCGGCAGGGGGCCGAGCCCAATGTGATGCCACTGCTGCGGGTGGAGGGCACCACGAGCGGCTATTTCCCTTATCCGCTGTTGTCGCTGTGCGTTGACAACCTCACTGACAACCGCCTGCCGTCCATCTGGGCAGCCGACGACGGGGGCGGTGGCACTCCCGTCGCCATGCCGACGTGGAAGACGCCCTCCCTGCAGCTCGCCGTCATGCGAAGCCTGATCCAGGGAGGCGCCGACGTCAATCGGGATGAGGGTGACCATAGGCCCATCGTGGTGGCCATCGCCTCGTGCAATCCGGCCGCATTCGACCTCCTGATGAGTCGGCCAGGTGCACACCCATTCACAGCACTCACCATACGGAACATACATCATGATGTCTGTCTGTCTGTTCCAGGCATCCAGCTGCAGGGGCGTCGCGTGGCGTTTCTGCCGCGCACATTGCCGACGGATCAGCCGAGTGAGGCTCACGAGGCCACGCTGCTGTCCTTCTACCGGCAGCCTGTCGACCAGCGTGACCCCACACTCGCGACCGAGCGGGGCCCGGGTGACGGCAATCCGCTCCATCGGGCAGCCGCGTCCTATCCCGTCTGGTCCCAGCAGTTCATCGAGGACTACATCGACCTGCTGGTGGCCAACGGGGCCGACATCACGGCCGTGAGCAGCAGTGGATCGACGCCATTGCGCTTCGCGGCCATCACCGGCTCTCACTGTGTCGCTGCGTCTCTCTGTCGCCGTCTTCCCGCTGCCGACATCAACAGAGGGACCCAAAATAACCCCGCCTGCACGCCCCTCACCCTCGCTGCCATATCGCTTGATGACGACACACAGCGGCTGCGAGACGACAACACGGAGCAGGCCGAGAGGGATCGGGTCACCATCCGGATCTCCAACCTCAAGACCACCATCCGTGTGCTGCTCCAGGTGGGCGCTGACATCGCCCTCATGCCCACGGCCACGGAGGAGGACCGCCGTGGTCGCCAGCTGGTGCTGCCCGAGTACGCGACAGTCCTCAACAACCTGCCCAATGATGTCATGGCTGCCATCAACGCCGCCCTCGCCCCTCAGCGGTCGCTCGCGGCCTTGCTCGCCCCCCGGCTGGCCGTCGGCCCGCAGGAGGCCCCCATCTTCGCCTGGCGCATCGCATCGTACCTCTTCGACATGGACGCCGCCACCCAGACCATCACCGAGGCCATCGGCGTGCGGCACTCCGCTATGGCCCATCGTGTGCGTGCGTCTGTCGAGCATTTCGTCCGGTCGGCAGTGTACGAGGCCAGCAGCAACAGGGAGGTGGTGGGCGGGATGGCCGATGTGGGCGGCGAGACGGTGCGGGTGCCGCTGCAGTGCTTCGCCATCAATGCCGGACAGCAGGGGAGCGGGCAGCACCGGCAGCTGGGTGTGCGTGAGGTGGTTCACAGGGCTCGGCTGGACGAGGCGGCCCAGCATGGCGTCGCGGGGCTGGTCAAGGGCTTCAACGAGTACCTGGGCAATGACGACTGCCAGTTCCAGTGGCAGCAGCTGGGGTGCGTCGAGAGGGGCCGGGACGGCATAGCGACCTTCAGACCGCTGCAGCTGACGTGATATGGGCGAGCGGGGCACGTCGATTTGTGGATGGATGGATGGATGAGGGGGAGGGGCAGACGGGCGGGCAGGCTTTGATGTGTGCATGACTAGATTGCTGTCGCTGCCTCACTGGCTGCTTCCTTTGTGTGGGTGGACGGAGAAAGGGGAGGCAGACAGGCCAGCAGATGGACAGCCCGGCACTGGTCGGTGTGAGTCATTCTCATGTGTTCACTCAGTGGCACTCAACATCCAGTCGGGTGTCACCGACGCGAATGCCGTGGTAGATGCTCACCTGCTGCCAGCCTGCCTGCCTGCCCGCCTGTGGAAGGTGGAGATGGCGGCAGGATGTTGTGAGGTGCGTTTAGTGGTGTTGACTGAATGAGTTCACCTGTTGGTCGTGCTGGTACATGGCTGTGTGCAGTGGATGACCGAACTACTGAATGACATTGCATGATGGTCTCGATTGGTCGACACGCACAAGACAGCGGCTACTCGTTTCGCTATGCGTCAAATGCCTTTCTCTCTCGAGGATGAGAGAGACGGCACACACCCTCGTGCACGGCACAGGCAGGCAGAAGCGCTCCACCACACAGCCATCCAAAGAGATATATAGATGTGGCGAGTGAGTCAATAAAGCAGCCAAAGGCAGTCACACATCGGCCTCAGCATCACATCAAAATCGGCCAGCAGCGGATCTTACCGCACCAGATGAACCCACACCCACACCCATCAGAGCCAACGTAGACCGACTGACACCCATCAGAGCCAAGCCAGCCATTCGGTCACACATCAGCAGCAGCAGCTGTGTCTCGAAGAAACGGATCGCCTTCAGAGATGATGACAGCCAGCACCCAGGGGATACCCTCCTGACGACACACACACATACACACACAGGGGGCAGGCAGGGCGACATTCCCTCATGGTGACAGAGGGACATGTATCGCTGCTCACCCACCAGCCATTGACTGAGGGATCCATCGGCTGCACCTCAACTGCGCCACCGTCACCTGCCGAAGCCACGACACACACTCACACACGCGAATGAATTTGATGGATGTGGGGGCATCTGTGGTTTGTGTGGCTGCCTTTATCCACACCGACGGTGTCAGTATCATCGCCGCTGCCATCGTCTGAATCTGCACATGCCGCACACAAACAGAGAAGGCCACTGTCGTTATCTCGCAGCGCTTGAGCATCATCTTGTACTGCGCACACACCCACACACACACTGTGCATCTCTGCTTCTGCAAATCGCAGCTGCAGACGCACCCACAAGTGCGTTGTGTGTGCACCTGATTGATCGTGGGAGTCCCTAGTCGTCCTGCGGCACTCGTTGCACCTGATTGGTCATGCAGTCTTCTCTTGCTCCATGGCCAACTGCCCGTACGTCTCTCGGTGGCCGCCGAAGCGGCCAAATATGCGTTAACACACAGACGAGAAGAGACACGATGAAGTTCCTTTAGGGCCTTCCTTTCTCCCTCACCTACGCAGCGGCGGGCTGCCGGGGGCAGGCGTGGATGAAGTAGGTGCATCGGAGATATAAGAGGGAGACAGTGATCCATCTGCACACACACACACGAGACACATACGCACGACCTGATCAGTATAGAATACTTCGACAGCTCACCTTCGATGTGCAATTGGCGGGACAATACAGTGCAGTTCAAAGTTGTCATCGGCCGATCTGCACACCACCCATCCCCGGAGAGAGAACACAAGACAAGTATCCCTTGTGTGTGTGCGTGTGTGTGTGTGTGTGTGCTGTTGGTCTGGCTATGGCTTGTGACGGTGCCGTCAACAAGCGACGTACTGTTCTCCAACACACATAAACACACGAGATGACGTTGGTCGCCTTAGTATTCCCCTCTGGTTCGCCATGATGTTGTCCTTTTCAGCATGCCGCAACTTCATCTCCAACAGCACATTCATCTGTGCGTCAGACATCCCCTTGCTCTTCCGCGTGTTGTCAGCCTCGAGGTCACGCTGACATGGAAGACACAGCTGCTGCGAGAATGAGAACAAGAAGCCGATCGAATATAAAATGTAGGCAGCAATTGAAGGCCTGCAGACAGACACACAGACAGACAGACAGACAGACAGGAAAGAAATCAGTCGGTCTGTTTGCACTCGCCCCACACGTTGGCGTTCGTCCACGAGGTAAGTATCCGTGTGGAGGGGGCCGCACGTGCTGGGGCGCCGTGCATGTCAGGTGGCGTCGCACCTTGAGCAGGTTTGCAGCGTCCATCGTGCCTTCTCTGGCGGCTCCTGCGCCCACGATTGTGTGAATCTCGTCGATGAACATGACAATCATCCCTTCGGCCTCCTCCACCTCCTTCAGGACCGTCTCGAGCCTCTTCTCAAACTCTCCTCGGAGCTCGGCACCTGATCGATGCGGTGCGATGCGATGCCTCCAATGAATGGCGGCAATGAATGGATGGATGGCGATGTGAGCGGCTGGCTGGCTGGACGGCTGACCTTCAATCATGGCGCCCATGTCGAGAGCTACAAGTCTCCTGTTCTTCAGGGAGTCTGGCACGTCACCCGACACAAAGTCGCCTCGGAACTCGGGCGAGGGGACGCACGGGCTCTCCTCCGGGCGGGACGAAAGGGGGGAAGCGGACACCGACGACGCCGGGAGGATGGGGCTGGAAGGCGAGGCTGAATGTCCTCATCATCCTCGTGTGAGTGCCGGCGAGCGGGGAGGTCACTCGCGCGGCGCCAGTGGATCGACACACACGATCGGCGTTTGGCCTCCTTCTCGAGCCTGCATCCACACAATTAGGAAACGACAGGCAGTTTGACGCAGTACTTCTCCGTGCGTGTCTTGATTGAAGAAACGGTGCGCGCTGTAATCAAAGGGGCGCAGACAGACAATGCCGTGTGGATAATACATGTAAGAAGGTTGGCGGCTTTTACTGACTTGCGGGCCCTTGGCCCGTGGCGTTGGGCAGCAGGCGTTGACGAGGTTTCCGCCTCCTCCACCTGCTTACAATTTGACAACAACAAATTGAGCTCAATGCCTACCTGTCTGTGCGCCTCCGTGCACAAGAATCGAAAGAAGAGACTTCAGAATATAAAATGTAGACAACGATTTCCAGGCCCGACTGCCTGCAGACAGACAGGTATCTCAGTACATGTCTCTGTCCTCTTTTGAGACACAGACGACCGTCAGACGTCAACACACGCATTCCGGCGCTTGTTTTGTTTGCAAGCGCCTCCTTCTGTACTTGTCAAGTGCTGTTGGCGGCGGCAAGGGGCGTAGCTTGCTTATAGGCGGCGGCCCGAGAGCAGGCGGTGCAGGTGGCTGGACGAATGCGTGCTGTTCCTGCATTGAAAGAACAACAAAGGACCAATTGATTCATGATCTTTTCTTCATTTCCTTCCGCCCACCCGTCCGCGGAGATTCACGTAAGCGGGACCAGGCCCAGTCTGCAAGGGGAGGGGGGGAGGGGTGAAATGCATCTTCCATGCTCATCATAGATCAACAGGTCTTTCTCTCTGACCCCCGCAGATGGATATCCGTGCCTCGTTGGCGTTCGCCCACGAGGGGGAGGGGAGTTTGCGAGTGGCGGGGGCCGCACAGACTGGGGCGCCTGAGTGCCGTAGGGGGGGAGGGGACGCACGGGCTCTCCTCCGGGCGGGACGAAAGAGGGGAAGCCAACACGGACGACGCCGGGGGGTCGCACGGGTCCCTGAGGAGTGGGGTACGCGTGGAAGGCGGGGCTGAATGTCGTCATCATCCTCGTGTGAGTGCCGGCAAGCGGGGAGGTCACTCGCGCGGCGCCAGTGGATCGACACAAGCAAAATGCATTATGACCGAACACATGGCCAAATGCACACGTGTGTGAAGAGATCGATGAAAGCACTGTCGTTGAAACCGTTTTTCAGCGGTACGTTGACCGAATAACCAAGGCCAGGACCCTCACCAATGTCCTGACACGCACACACGAACACACACGCACTCGTTGACGTGTGTGTTCATTTCTCTGTTGTCTGCGTGTGTGACACACACATGCACCTGTTAGTGCAGAAGAAGGCTTTCGCGACCCCCATCGCCATGGTGTTTGTCAGCCAGTACGCAGTCGTTCAGGTGGCAAAATCCTGCATGCACACAAACAGAGGGCGAGACCACGCTGGTGGAATTGCTGGTGGCTCAGCCTGTCTGTCTGCGTACATACCAAACGGTCCGTCTTTCTCCCTGTGGAGCCCTCCCAGCTAAAGGCAATGCGGGCCTTCTTGTGATTGAGGATTCGGGCGCTGTCTGAATACACACACGTGTGTTCTGAGGTCGCCCCTGCGGTATCCTATGGACGCTTCTGTCATTCGCTCCTCTAGCTCTTTCCAATTGGCTCTTTCTCTTTGCCTACCTTTGCTGTTCAAGGATGGGCGGCAGGAGCCCCATTCCCAAGCCATTGGCTGCTGACGTCGACCTCATCAGAGGAAAGTCACCATGATCCATATCGTTCAAGGGGCGCCAAGAAGATCTAGATTAAATCTCCAAAGTCTCGCACACTCTCTCTATGGGCTCTCGCTGGGAATAGGCCGTGCCGATGACTCGTAGGTCCTCAAACGTCCATGAGGATCGCTGTGGCATCTGATGCTGACGCAGGAGAGGGGCCACCAATGTGGGGAAAGCTGGGCAGAAAGACGTGCAGAAAGAACGCGGAGTGGGCAAACACACAACCAGAAGTAAGATACGAGGGAGAAGTGAGAGAAACTATGAGAACGGAGAAGAACTGGCACGACCCGATTTTTAAATCCTCGCGAGACGGGAGACGGCCAAGATCGAATCTCGCCGCGAGATTCTCGCCGCAAGCTTGAAAGGTCTTTCCGGCTCTGATGCTTCCAGGGCAGTGGACATCTCTACTGTTCTGCCAGGTAGATAAAGCCACCCAGGAAGGCTGCCGTCATTGCGTGTGTCACCAACCAACGTATAGATCCCCTAGCTCGCACGGCAAGGGGATTCCGGTCAAAAGAAGCGAAGATGGCCGATATGTGGCCTCGCGAGAAGTACCTCATATGGTTTCGGTGGTCGGACTCCTCGCTGTCCACCAACTGTGTGCTGCGCGGCCTCAAGACGGTAGCTGACTTGAAGGGGGTGTTGGTGAAGGAACACGCGGTGAGGAGGGGGACAGGAGAGGCGCCCAACACCCAACGCGCACACCAACGTCTGTCTTCATGTCGTCATTTGTGCCTGCAGCATCTCTACAAGATCACGAGCGAGATCGTCTTGTTCGGCCGTGCCGGTGAGCCGTCCACCGATGCCGACGACCACAAGACTCTCGACGAGTTCTTCGGCGAGCTCGGCAGAACAGAAGAGCAGCCGATTGTCATGAGGAAGCCACCGACGGTGCCCAAACTCTCGACAAGTGACTGTCTGTGAGGCCGAGAGAGGGAGACAGAGGCAGGCCGGTGGCCGGTGTATGTCTCACTCGCTGTGTGTGTCGTCCACAGAGCTCCCCGTTACTCCTCCGGAAGTCACAGGTGAGGGAGTGAGGGAGTGAGGTGACGGTGCGTTGCTTTCTATCTGGCTTCTCATTCATATGCAGTCATTGGCACAGTCGAGGAGCAGTGGAAAAGGCGGCAGCAAGCGAAAGACCCGATACCTGCGGCATTCTTTGTTCAAGACTGACAACTGGCTGCTCGTTACCCCGGCCGTGCGATCTGCCTGTGCTCGATGCGAACCGTTCCTGCGATGTACATATTCATGATGTACACTAACACACCGACTTGCCTACGTGGTCGTCAAGGCGTGTATTGTTATGTGCCTGTCGCATGTCACACAGTCAATACTTCCTGTGTGAAGCGTGATTGGTCATGGATCATATTTCTGCCCTTCATTACCCGCCCACTGCGTGCACAGATGAGGGAGGCGATTGATTTTCTGCCTGGTCTCCCTCTGTCGTGGCTAACTGACTTAACATCGTCTGTTCAGTCCCCCGTTTGTCTCGCAATGCACCAATACAACCTACTAGACACACATTCGCACACACAGAAAGAGCAGAGCAGGGTGCTTGACCGCCCAGCTGCACAGCACAGCACAAGACGGCCAAATAAAGCACGTCAGTCAGTCATCAGTGACCTTCGCTCACCGCCTCAGCTCTCGCTTCCAAGGAAGTCATTCACTCACCTGGTGGCGTCACTCAGACTCTTGCCGCCTTGCAGACAGAGGCAGTGGCCCGCCAGGTGATGGTCAATGATGCCTCTGTCTGGACGACATATGAACAGGTGAGACATATGAACAGGACGACATATGAACAGGTGAGACACACCTGTGAGACACACCTGTGAGACACAATCCACACGGATGCGTCTCTCATGATTATGCTAGCTGTGTGTGATCTTTGGTGTGCGTGTGTGTGCAGTCATGTGAGGATGAGCGAGGAAATGGGGCGGCTGGTGTGATGATGAATGGATGGAGCGACTCATGTACGTTTTCTGTGCGGCATGGATGGAGCGACTCATGTACGTTTTCTGTGCGGCATGGATGGATGGACTTATGTACGTTTTGTGTGCGGCGAATGAACAAACACCGATCCATCGAGCCCATGCATGCATGCCTACTACCAAAACAATGCATCTACACAACGCTTCTCTCAGCTAGCTACAGCTCTTGTGCGTCAGCGACATGATAGTGAGCACACTGCTTCAGAAATGACCTGAGGGAGACACACATGAGGAGGGAAACCCATTTTCCCCACCTATGTGTGGGTTGTCGTCGTGTGTCTCAGCCCATCGTACGTGATGGTATCTGTGAAGTGTCTGGTGGCCTCTGCCTCGTTCATGCTCATCTGCACTGTCGTCGATATCTCATAACCCACATAGTCACCCTCGCCACCACCAGCCGCAGACGAGGAGAACGACTCCTTCCTGTCCCCCTCACCCCCCTCCCCCTCTGTCAGTGTCTCGTGCTGGCGATCCTCGGTGGGTGTGTGGCTGCTGCTGCTCTCACGCCTCCTTTCCTCCTCCTTGTGTTGCTGCGGGGGTCTTGGCAGGCCGCCATTTGCGAGCGGGATCTCGGTACATCGGACAGTGGGCAGTGAGCGGAATCGCTCCCACTCATTTGTCTTGAGGAACAAGCGACTCAGACGGACCTGCGAGAAAGCGACGGCAAAGAGAGGGTCCGTGTCTCGCTCTCTATGCTGAGTGTGGTCACCCGAATGTGAGGCGTGAATGCAGTTCCGACACTCTCGAGGAGGTTCGGCCCCATAAAGCCGACCGATGGGCCGTGCGCGAACACCTTAGAAGTCCACTGGCCATTTGTCCCACCATTGCCGTCTCCCTCCTCTCGCCGAGGGGAGGTGTTAGGCGCACTTCCCTTTTCTGTTGTGTCTTTGGTCCATACGAGGGACTCTGGCGAGAGGCACTCGCCCATTTGCGTCTGGACGTCCGCCAGGATGGCCGCCAGCTCGGCGAAGACCGCACGCACAGGGCGGCCAGCACTGCACGGATGCATGGAGGCAGAATTGATGCAGATGCCTGTCACTTTCTTCTCTGTACCCGATGACTTTGATGACGAGATGGTCAGAGAAGTTGATGAGTGCTGCGGCTGTGGGCGTGTCGCCGGCGGACACCAGCACAGACCGATGACGGGGCCACCAGCGAGGGAGCGACTCCTGCAAGCGAGCGACCCATCCATGCACAGCTGGGGAGGACAATGAGTGTGCGCCGCACCTGTCGCTGATTCTCAAAGAGATTGATGCCAAATTGGCCGGTGAGGAGAGACTGGTCTTCGGCAGACAGCGACTGATCGACACACACGCACAGACTTCGCCAGACAGTGCCTGTCTCTCTGACTCACGCACCTCCACGAGCAGGTGTCTGGCGTCTTTGAATGCCGCGCATTTCTTCATCGCCGGCACCAAAGCTTTCTCCACCTCCCGCAGAGAAAGCACCCCACGATTGGTCGTCCCTGCATCCATCGGACAGACACACGATGGGTGGATGGACAGACGCCATGATGCACATGTCTCCCTGACCAGAGAAAGAGCTGGTGGTGCATGTGGAAGTGAGAAACGGCGTCCCTTGCAGATTCCGCCGCACCGCCAGCTGCCACTCCGACTTGCCCAACCCAGGCGGGCACACAATCGGGCTGTCCATCTGGTGGCTCACAGACGCGTCCACCAATGCCTTGCTGCCGCTCTCGATGGGCGTGAAGACGGAGAGCGGCGGGAAGGTGGCCGCCTGTGCCCATGGTGGGTGGAGAAATGTGAGGATGGCGTGGGTGAGCGGCTTGAAGAGGGTGAAGGATTCCTCGTCACCGGCAGATGCCCCGCCTGTCATGCGTCGTGCATCCCTGACCGTGCATCTCTCTCTCTCTCTCTCTGTGTGTGTGTGTGTGTGTGTCATAACCTGGCAGCTGAAATATCTCTCCTGCGAGAGCGATCTCGTTCAGAGTGAAGCCGGAATCGGTCCTGCACAACACGCATCGACAGACAGTCAGTGAGACGCCAGCAATGTCGATCGAGGAGAGCGTCACAGACACACACACTCACTGTTTGCCTCTGAGTTGTGCGGTGATCTCATTGATGTCGCCGCCCTTGATCGTGAAGTCAAATGAGGGCACTGGCAGCTGACAAGAGGGAGAGGGAGACAATTTGTGAGTGGGTGTGTGAGCAGTAGAGACAAACAGGTGGACCATGGCATCAGCGTCTGCGCCAGGGATGTGTGTGTCCTCTGTGGCCAGCTCTTCTTCTCTCTCAATCAGCTCCGACACCCCTCTGTTGAACTGCTCGACCACCTGTGCCTCGCTCATGCCCAGACTGCTGACCGTACGCACCCACACCAAACCTGCACACAAGTCAACACACAGACCGATGGATGCACGTCTCTGCATCTTCCCTCTCCATGCTGCATTCTTACCAGAGTTGCCCAACTGTTTCAGTGGTTTCTTGCTCTCAACAAAGCGGAAAGCCAGGCGGTGCTCTGCGCACATCTTGGCCAGCTCACTTGTGTCCCTCCCCACCATACTCCGCCGACTTCTCTGCGACCGCACTTCGCCACCGCTCTCCTGCTGCTGAGGATGCTGTGCTTGTGTATTGTCCATCATGGCCGGGCGCAGGTGGTCTTCCATCAGTTTGGGGATGACCAGACGAGCCGAGAGCTCTAGTGCGGTGCCGAGGCCTTCTGGGAGGGCGGTGAGGTAGCCGAGGCGATTGGAGTAGGCAAAGGCCATGTCTGTGTCGCTTGACTGGAAGGCCCGCAACACGTGGAAGAGGCGCTCTACGCAGCGGAGAGCGTTTCCCTCCGCGTCGCAAGAGGCGATGTCGAGGTGGTTGCGGGCGTTCATCACGCCGCCCCACAGACAGCTGCCACTCAGAAACGCACTACGACCTGACACACACACATACACACAGACACACATACACACAGACACACACACAGAGTTCGTTGCTGTGTGAATGCATGCGTGTGTTGTGTACCGACCAATGGGCCACTTTTGCTTGAAGCCGGCACACGAGTGGAACTCAGTCAGATTGGGATAGAAGCCCAGAGGGAACATCAGGTCGCGACCGAGCTGCAATCAGTAAGACAGTCAATCAATCAACAAATCAGTCGATCAATCGGTCAAGAAACATGCCCTCGTGTTTGTGTCTCAGACTGACTGACTTTGTCTTGTGGCGAGTCAGAGAAGCCGAAGACGGCTGGCGGGCCGACATACTGCGCATCAGGCTCAATGGCCGTACTCAGTTCTGCCGACGACTCAACCGCATGGAAGGTGGCACGCAGCTGACGCAGACACACGCACACGAGTGATGCACATCGTCTCCTTCCACCCTTTCCGCATTCCTCGCTGACTTTTGTTTCGATGTGTGTGAGCTGCTGCGGCAGTGCGCCCGGCACAAAGGGCTCATTTGCCACATTCCGTTGCACCTGATGTACACACACTTACGCTACGCTTCTTTCTCCCTGTCTCTGTTCTGTATGCTTCTCGGATTACCTTGGCAACGATGAGCGGTACGTATGTTTGGCTGAGCGTCTGGATGAATCTGTCCTTCAGGGGAGCAGTGGGAGCATCAGAAGGACAGGTGGGAGACGCCAACACGAGATCGTCGTGCTGCAACGAAAGAAGGCACACCACACAACAGTCCCTCTCTCTTTCTCCGATTCTTAGGATGCGCGTGTGTTCAGACCTAATCGACGCACTCACTTGGAGCTCTTGTGGTTCTACTTTGTGGTATGCGGCGATGAGGGGATCGAACAGCTCCTGATAGACGTCGTACGCAGCGGCCTCGCCCACCGACACGCCGCAGCTCGTCACGCCGTCCCACGAACTGACATTGGTAAAGTGAGAGAGTATACAGACATCTTTCTGTTTGAGTGTATGTTACGTGTCTCCGCTGGGGCAGAGGCAGCATGTGAGGAGGGCATCCAAAATGGGCCACTTGAACTCAAGCCGAGGCGCACCCTCCTCGCCCTGTTGGTCATCCTCCTGCATGCATATACACAGGCACACAACATGCATGTCTCTATGCATGCGTCGCGGCTTACGGTAATCATTTTGTGTTGCAGCATCCTGAATGTCTCCAGCTGTGATGGCGTGAGGAGAGTGCTGTTCTGCTGTGTGATGTGGCTTAGCTGCAGCCCCGCCGCCATGGCAGCGTCCACGTCAAACAAACCGTCACGTGACGGCAGTGAGATGTCCGTCTCGCGCCGCTGGTGCCGGAACGTCTCAATAGCCGCCGTCTCCCCACCGCCCCTCTCTTCTTCGTGGTCGAGGGCCATCTGCAGCAGCGGGGAGAGGTCGGCCCTCCATGTCTGCGTCATGGTTCACACACACAGCAATGAACACACCAAGACAGAAGAAGAAAGAGGAGAAAGGGGCGTTCAGACAATCAGCTCATTTACAGCGGCGAAAGGGCTGAGTAGCTCGTCCATGAGTATCTGGTCCACCCGTACCACCCCCTGCGCAGCCTCCAGCAGCTTGGTCAACGTCTCAACCTCATCCGCACCGAAACGCGACCGCCACACCAGCTCCACCACACCCTGTAGGCACACACAGATGGATGAGTGGATGGATGGATGGACACTCAAATGTGCATGTAAGTGGCCTTCTCTCTTTCTCTCTGCGTGTGTGTACTTGCCTCTTCCAGTCGTGTGTATTTGCCAATCTTGAGGCCCCGCCCATCAGCCTCTTCACGCAGCCGCTGGTGGCCCGCCAGACACAGCCCCGGCAGCCGCAGCCCGACAGAACACCTGACGAGAAACAGAGGCCAACAAGATGAATTCAGGAGTGCGTCCATTTGTGTACCGTAGAGAGTGTCCTGCGTTGCCCGGGTCGTAAGAGAGGAAGCCAAATGTGGAGTGGTAGCTATATGCCTGGCTCGCCACCTCAGAGCCCAATGTGCGCTGCAGCCATTCACCGACAGACAGACAGATGGCAATATAAGCACGCAAAGACGGACGGAGAGAGCTTCATACCGCGATGAGCTCCAGGATCTCTGCCACTTTGAGCAGGCCCTTCTGGAAGGCACTTGATGTGGGCGAGGTGACCCGCTTGACCACCTTGACATGATCGGTGGTGTTGACCCATATGGCGGTCTCCATGTCGTCTCCCAGCCACATGAGACGGCCCGTCGGCCACTCACGATTCAGATCGATGCAGTCCAACATCTCAACCTGCATTGAATTCAGCACGACAGTGGGCGTGGCTGTGTTGTGTGTGTGGTTGGTCATCTTGCCTTGTGTGGGAAGAGGCCCAGCCGAGAGAGCCGGTGCTTCAAGTGGGGCTGCCGCTCTTCCAATGCTCTCACTGGCACATAGTCACCCTGACACCGCACACACAGTTGCACACAGAATGCCATTTCTCGCGCTCTTGTGCATATGTGTGTGTGTGTCTATCACCTGTACGCCCAGTGTGGAGGGCATCTTTTGAAACGCCTCTTCGATCGTCTCGCTGAGCTTCGCGCGCTGGGCGGCGGTGATCTTGGGGGTGAAGGGGTAGCCTTTCACGTTCCTGAGTAATTGAGACACAGTGGGAAAAGACAGAGACATGGAGGGGGGTCGGTGTGTGTTTGTGCATACCTTGATGCTCGCATGCGGGCAAACACAAATCGTTTTGAGTCGAGTGTTGCCAGGGGAAGCCTTTCGAAGCTTTCTGAACGCGCAATGCTGTGCTGATATACACGTGTGCATGGACGAGTGGATCGATGTACGCGATGTCGATACACATATCTTATCTCTCCCTCTTTCTTACCGCAGCAAGGTCCGTGTGCAGCTGCAGAGACCTGTGGACATGCTGCGATGCCATCAGCTCGGAGAATATATCACTGAAGACATCGTAGCACTCGGTGTCCCACGCAATCAAACCTAAGGAGGAGAAAGACAAAACAAAAAGCATTCACTCCGAATCTGTCCCGCGCTTTGTTGGTCCTGGTGTGTTGTCCACCGATGAGGGACTCAGGGTGCTCGATGCCCAGCCGCAGGCAATCCCGCAATGTCGTCCCGCCTGGCGTCTGCTGCACCGTCGTGTTATAAAGCTGACCAGACACACATACAGTCGCGATTTCTTGCCTCTCTCTGTGGAATTATCCATTCGTGTGTACGTCTCTGGTGAGAGTGCCTTTGATGGCGGCCTTCGACTCATCCGGCAAAGGCATATCCTCCATCTGCGGCGCGCTGGCGCCTTCCTTCTCCTCGTCCCTCTCGTCATCGCGCCGCTGCCGATCTTTGGCTGACAAGACCGACAGCCCGGCCGCCTTGAGCTCGGATGGCGTGCACCGCTCAGAGAGATACTGCAGCTGTCAGAGAGAGAGAGAGGTAGAGGGAGAGAGGGATGCTTATGTGTGTGCACGTGGGAGATGGCTGGAATCATCTAAGCTTACGATGAAGACTTTTGGGTTTGGTGATCTCCGCTGGACGACGTTGTTGAGGAGCTGTCCGAAGAGTCGCTCCAGGTTGTGCTGCTCAATGTACTTTTTGGCCTCCAGCTGGGCACGTGTCACCCTGACACAACCCAGACAACAAGACAGCAGCGGGACACTCGTCGCATAACATGTCACGGATGAAACATGCAGTGACATTGCTCTGACCTTCTGGACGACATTTTGCCTCTGTATGCGTCAACGATGGTCGCAAAACACTAGAAAGAAATCCCCGGAAACTGGGGGGCTCTGGGGGCCAAAACAGTGGTGTTCCTTCGTTGAGCTCCCGAGCAAGGAGGGCGACGTGTTGTGCAATCATCATGCCTGGCAGCAAAGGAGGCTCGAAAGCGTAAGCACAAAAGGCGCCTTGTCCGTCACTTCCTTTCAACTGCTTCCTGTCGTCGGTCTGCAGTGACAGAGGAGGGTTTTTCGATGTCAAGAGCTCTGAAACGTCGGCGGCCTACACACACACACACATATACACACACACACAGAGAGAGAGAGAGAGAGATACACATGTGCGTGTGTGCGTTCAGGTGGCGCCAGACTCTCAAGAAGGAACACAGGTGAGCTTACCAGGACGCATTGACGGATCCATGGGTGTCGGTGATCTCTTTCTCTTCCGCTGGCTCATCAACGCAGGATAGTGGCCAAGAGGATCCACGAGGAGATCCAGACAGCCGAGAAGGACGGAGAGGACCTCTACGACAAACACAACGGCTTCTTCATGCGCTACAGACCCGTATGTACGCCACAAGAATGTGTACACACCCGCATCTCTCTCCCCTCTCGTCTTCCTCCAGGACGGATGGCAGCCACCCCAGGAGCTGCTGTTCACCATCGACAAGCTTCGAGACACGACTGAGGAGGACCTCAAGACAAAGAAATTCACCGCCCATCCGCCCTACAAGCGTCACCAAGAGGGCCTGAAGACTCGCTTTACCGTGCTGTCGAGCCAGCAGGTCAGGAGAGCCGTCAGACATCACCACACCAGGCATGCAGCGCATCAGTTCAGACCTTACACCTGGGTACATGTGTGTCAGATCGGCTGGCGGCCGCCATTGGACAGGCCTGACTTGGGGTTTGGGAGAAAGGGACTCACTTTCTGCTGATCAATGGGGGCGGGAGG